AATGGTCCTGAGGGCGTTCTGGTGGTAGGCCAAGTGGCATGTCGTCCGGAAAAATATCGGGGAACTGACAAATCAGTTTTGCCAGATATTCGGGGACCGCTGCGCATAGCTTATCAATGTTGGCTGGATGATCATCCTCCGTTGATTCCTTCAGGTGGACGGCGTACAGGTCTGCGCCTTTCTTGACCGCGTGTGCCAGCGTGATAGCATTGACTCGTGTCATTATCGACTCTGCTCCTCGCGAGCATGGTAGTGTCTGCCGACCAGTCACACACTTCATTGTGCATTCGCATGTCGTCCAATCAATTTGCGGGTTGTGTCGCCGAAGCCAATCTTGTCCCAGCAACGCATCGTAGCCGTCTAGTGCCGTCGCCAACATCGGCGCGCTGAAACCAAAATCGTCACCACACTTCATGCGAACAGTTCGCACGTGATCGCGTATCGCCAACAGGGTGCCATCGACCGATTGGGCATCGATCTTGGGCAGACACCGCTCCAGGGGTAAGTTTATAATTTTAACCATTGGACGGTGAAGCAGACTATGGCTCATACCACCATCGATGAAGATTTCTACCCTTTTTTCGTTAACCCTTCCTTCTACCAGCACAGGGTGATCCTCAGGTTCATCCCTGTTATTCGTCTGAGAGCGGTCGATAGCATGTACCGGTACCACTACTCGGTGGAGATGCTGTTTCTCGGGCGATGCAGCCGTGTCAGTAGGGGGCCCATTTGCTACTGACGGGAATCGTTTCCCGGCTTATCCCCATCATTGTTTTTCCTCTGCTTCCAGTCAGGGCAGAAAGCATATCAGTGACCCGGCTGATGGCAGTTAAAACACTGACGCTTCCGGCTATCGTCGTCGTTCGCCACAATGCCATTGATCGAGGGCCATTGATCATGGCCACAAAAACGATTTCCTTCTCGGGAACCCGATCTTGCATATTTTTTATTGGCGTCCTACAGGTCGGCGATCACCATTGCTTCCTGGAACGTCATTGGGCTTCGCATCTTCACTTCGTAACGAACGTCGGATTTGAGCCCAATGATGAACCAATTCTTTTTTTCTTTCGGCTTCTGATAGGTCAGTGATTTGGTCGCACACTGTCTGAAATGATGACATGTAACCTTGGACAGAGGTCAGCTGGCGCCAGGTGTCCAATTGTCTTCTAGCACAGCTGTCAGGCAAGCCTCCGTGGTGGCAATTTTTTGCCAATAGCTCGTCAAACTGTGCATGTTCCATGTGGCGAATAATGCGTTAGGTGGGCAAGGGAATATGTGTGATTACCCATGCTCAAGTAAGAGCACAAACGCTATCGTAGTTGGGCGAATTAATTCGTTTGATTCGCGGCTGACCTCTTTGCAGCTTAGTGAGGGAGTCACTCCCCGCCCGAAAAGAAGTTTTCCGCCTACGGAAGCGGGTAGGTCAGGAAAGTAGCTCTGAATACCAGATGTTATGAGTGTTTAACCAGAGTAGCGCGGAATCGAATGTCGAGGTTCAGAATAACAGAATGTGGTACAATGGAATGACGAAGCAAGATATAGGAACACCAAAGCAATCCTAGCCGTGTGATCGAACAGGTTCGAGGAAGGCATCCGAGGATGTGGAGCGCTTCGGAGTGACGCGGAAATGGTTCGGTGCTGTGTTCGGGCTGAAGCTAGGGCAAATGTCGGTGCCGTGTGGGGTTGGTGTACGAGTTAGCGGTGTGGCGCACTAAGGAATGGAAAATTCCTTACAATATACGCAACAAAACCTATAACTAGGCAATCATGCACAGTTACAGTCTACCTATATTAAATGCGTCTCTGGGGACATGCCAATGACCCCGTTTAGATCCACGTAATCACGACCTGGCCTAAGCACAGCACAACAGCAAAGAGTTGCATGCCATGTGCGGTGACACAATCAGTTCCAGTTCTGTAACGAAATCCTCCACTCGCGCCCAATCACATCGTGGCAGTAGGGACGCCACCAATCGCAACGTTATGTCAATGGATGTTGGGACGCCCAAGGCCGAGTGTATTTACTACCGCCAGGTTTTAGACCCCGATGCACTCAGGAGAGTGGCGCGGGGGCCCCCGTACGGCGGGTCGCATTCACCATGGCCCAGAAAATCACCATTTGTGAGTACTCCGCCAGGCACTATACACTCCATGGCATAAGGCCAGAATTCGGTGAGGTGAGATAATGTTTTATAAGGGCACACATCTTTGCATATATGGTCCTGTTGACCGTCTCAATTGTAGCTTGGTGCAACTGAGCTTTAGGCAAGGAGAAAGAGCCACTCTATGTCTGTTTATGCAAAGTACTTGCAGAAGGCTTTGCCCTTGTACTCAAGAGCATTGTCACTCACGAAAAACTTCGGCTAGAACCGGAATATCCTTCGGTGTGTGTAATTCAGAGCACGAAGCGATCAAAAGGCATCGATCCTTGTAGTTGTAGTACTAGACATGGCAAATAGCGGCATTGATGATGGTCATCGTATACTATAGCGTTTATCGTTGGTTTTGGTGGTAGATAGACACAGAAAGTAACTGTAGATTTTGTCGAGTGACGCGTCAAGGGAGTACCAAGAGTACGCATCGGGAAGGGCTGGTGCATGAGAGCGGCTTCAAGGCAGATGGTGCATGCAGTCAGATGAAGTGCCAGTATCATGTCGGTGCCATTCGGGAGAAGTAGCGTACGTGGTTCAAAGACTTATCTGCAAATACAGTTGTTGGGAGCTACGGGGGAGGGATATCGAAGCACTGGTACCAGAGATCTTGTGTGGCACAGTGACCTTGAGTGCGGTAGTAGTACTCAAAGCCCTCTGCATTTGGTGTTTTGCACAGGTGCGAAGTTAGGACTAGAAGTGGGAGCTGGAGCGGCGCCGGTGTCATCGTCGACATCCCTGGTGATGGTCGAGGCAGTAGTGTCATGTCAAATTTTGTCGATAAGTGGTGCAATCTTGAGGATGGCAAGGGATTCATCAATGACGGTACGCAGGATGACAACCATAGGTCTGGTTTGCTGTCGGGTGCTCCCCAGCTGGCTCCCCATTCCGAATGTCGAGGCTGATAATCGCGTAGTAGCTTGTTCGCCAATGGTACCTTCGTCGCATGGAGGTGCTCCCTAGCTGGTGCCATGGATAGGCCAGAAAGGGCCATGTTCGAACGAAGGTGTGGTTGTGGTCATGGCCGCAGTTGCACTAGACGATGGGGTAGGTTTTGCCAGTGTGGTGTCTTTGATGCCTCCTTCCACGGTTCCAGCAGAAGTCAAGGAAGAATATGTAGGGGTTGAGCGAGAGCAGCAGAGACCCTCCAGAGCAGTCAATTTTCTCAAGGTTTGCCTCGGAGGGGTGCACCCAACATTGCTTGCGGTGGTTGAGTTGTGCCTCCAGAGAAATGATGGCCTGGTTGGAGTTGCGGACCAGCCTAAGGCTACTGAAGTCAAGTACGAAGACCCCATCTTCATTTTATGCGCAATCAATGTACTTTTCTCCATAAATCAAGTAGAAATTCTTGGTTGCACAGTGTGATTAGGGGTCCATGCCACAAGCTATTAGTTGTGTTGTCGAGAGGAGATACATTTTGGTTCTTCAACAAAGGGGCAATTAGAGATGTGGAGTCCAACGTGAGAGCCGCAGGCTTCTTCTCTGCTACTATTAGCACAAAGGTGATAATTGTTGGTGATGGTAATATCGCACATTGTCCTGAGGGCCTGCTTGTTGAAGACATGGTGAGACAAGCCCATCATGTGCTGACCGCACGAGCTGTCAAGATACCACTTGTAAAAGTTGTCCTTGGAATCGCAGGCGATGCTAGCGATGAGCGGTGAGACATAGTGGGTGTACCGGTTACGAGTAGTTTGATGGAGGATTGTCATGTCGAGCCATGTGCCTCAGTGAGCGGGTGGTGACTCCTGCTTGAGTAGGGGCAGCTAGAATTAGAAGCCTAGTACCGTGCCGTCTGGGATAGGTTTGGGTGCCGTTTCCGGTTTTGGCTCGAACGTGGTGAGGTACGTTGCTTTCAGTAAATTCTTCGGATTCGAAGAAGTGGTGATGGCAGCGACAATGATAATCTCCTTCCATGCTGATAATGAAGTTCATCAAGGTCATGGGTTGTTGCATAGGTTTGTGCCTTGTGGTGGTACATGATGCTCGTGGGTGTTGCTCCAGGGTCTGTTACCAAGACGGTTGAGGAAGATAATCGTGAGGAAATTGACGGTGGGTCACATCGACGAATGCAACTCTTGGTGCTGTGACCTTGCAGATTTTGCAGAAGTAGCATCGTCGATTATATTTTTCATTTTCTCTTCTTCCCCGACTTCTGTGTAGAAAGCCACCTCTGTTGTGTGATGTCATCATATGCTATCACATTCTGTCTGCCTCCCATCCCATGTTTTCAACCCATATGTATGGTTTGACTGTGTGTGAAAGAATTTGTGTGTGGTGTATTCTGGAGTTTGGGAATGTGTTCTGTATTATTTTTGTTTGAGCAGGTATTTGTGATGATAGATCTTGAGAAGATCTTTCCGACGCAACGAGAATCCCTTCAATCGGAGCAAGAACGCGAAAGCTATGAAGATTCAAAGTTCATGAGCTTGCGTTACAATTGCGGCGGTTACGAAGTGAAGTTGTGGGGTAACTCTATATGGAGTTGGGACCTTTGGGGTTGGGGAAATTCGTCACTCTACTGTAACAGCTGCAAATTGGTTGGGAACAACCAAGCTAGGTTGGCAAGGGTGGCCAACTTGGATGGATTGGTTGGGAAGGGACAAATGTCAAAATTGGGGTTCCTATAGGGGGGGAATATTTGTGCTTATGGGGTTTCCTTGGTTGGAGACTCTCTTAGAACATTCCCTCTCATCCTTCTCTTCCATCCCAACCTTTCTCTTACTCCTCTTATTCCTTGTGAGATTCTTGAACTTTGAATTGAACTTTTGAGATTGAGTTAAGTTCTCCTCCTACAGCTTACCCCCTAATGCGTCGAAAGCCATAGCGTCGCGAATACTTCATTAATAAACGTGATTCAAATTGTGAACGGTAGCTGAGATTAAGAGCTACAACATATCTAAGTTTCGCGACATTCCAACAGCTAGTTTTTTGTCAACGTCGTTTCTTGTGAAGACGACTTTTCTGTCCAGAATTTCGGATTTATATTTTGAGTAATTATAGCTCCTAAGTTCACCTAGACTCCGTCTTTAATCCTATCAACCTCCTCTTCCATTCCTCCCATGTTGTTGTACGCATCTAGGTTCTACTGGTCAGTGAGGATACGGGATATTATGCCTCCTTCGGCAGTGCTCCATGTAGTGGTGGCACCAGTCTGGTCCAAGACTATATGATACGACAGTGACAAACATGTCATCATGGAAGTTTCATCCACTCTTCTTGAATTCATTTTGGGTATTTCTGTATCGGTTGATGTAGGGACCAGCCTCTTCTCTTGGCATCATGCGTATGGCTATGAGTTGGTTGAGAAAGCGGCTCAACATAACTATATCCCTCTCTTGGTGCATTGTTTTGCAGGTGCTCCCATGCGATTTGTGTCGCAGCTTGCATGTTTTCTTAATGAATGGATGCCGAATTTCTCTGTGGCTGAGACGTGCTTGATGAGGACTGAGTACGTGAGCAGGGACATGTTGTAGAACCACGGATTCTCCTCAGGTGAGCCGTTGACGGGGAAGGCAACTTCAGGTCCCAAATAGCAATCCTCACTGTTTCATTTCGTTAACTGTTTTTGTCAAAATTCCTTGGGTTTATGAGGTTACAAGCCCAGACCCCTAGTATCAATTGTTATGAATCAAATTGAGCATTGAAATATGGTCTTTGTGCTTGTATGTTACTCTTAGTTGTGCAAAATTCCGTCTACCCTGGTCGCTAGTCATTTCCATTACACAAAAACCCTGCCATTCCTCCTGGTCATTCATTCCCTTCTGCTTCCAGGTCGCTTGTTTTGGTAAAGCCTGCTTCTGTCAGGGTTAATTATACGTGACCCTTTCTCAAATTTCTTGTAAGTGTTCTTTTGCAGGTCTCTTCTGTTGTTTGCAGTTCCTGGCTTTTTCAACTGTGTGGCTTTTTTAGTGCATATTTTCCAAGAGCCTAGGTAGCAACAAATATGAATACTCATGTTTTTATTAACAGCTCACTGAATAAACAGACCATCTATTTCTTGATTTTTGGACTCCTAGGATCCAAGACAATCTCTTATTGCCATAAGGTAATCAGCACGCCCAACAATGAGTCAGTCAAGTCTCCCGACTTCAGATGCCTAGTCCTGACTATTGATATTCTGAAGAGTTCTTCCATATGAGAATCTCTAATATGTACATCTTCACCCTGATGACTCTCACATGCAGTCCATTCACTTGTGAGAATCAGCCACGCTCCCACTCGCCTCCCCACTCGTCCTCTCGCCAGCACTGGAGCTCTCATTCCCCTCTGAACTGCCTATCGTATCCCTCATAGCAGTTATCCCACTCACACTCCCCAGTGACGCTGCAGCTGCTGGTTCCCACTTCTCTTTCACCACCCCACCCACTCCTGCCACGCCCATTCCGACTCCTGGTGGGAACTCACTCTCCTCCAATCCGCCCTCCCTCTCCCTCCTCACTACCTCCTCTCGGATCTTCTTGAGCTCTGGGAGCACTTTGGCCATGGAGGGGCGCGAGGCAGCAGGAGTGGCAGTGCATGCCATGGCCAGGGTTATGAGGCGCTGCATGACGTCATCAGACACCATGCTGACGCCAGAAGTAGCAGGAGAGACCATCCGGGGGTCTATGATGGAGCTGACATCGCCGCTAGAGAGCTCTGCAGCCGCCTGTGCGAGGGGAGAGAGGGGTTTCAAGAGGAGTGAAAGGGGAAATGGGGATAGAAACAGGATGCGGGGAGAGAACGGATAAGAGGAGACAGGAGGGCATGAGGGGTAGAACGGTTATGAGGAGTGGAGGGAACAATTAGCAATTGATGAAAATAAGGGAGTGAAAGGAGGGTGCTGAGAATGAATGCAAGATTGGGCTCAGGGATACAGCGACCAAGTACCATGCCAACACATTCAAGCTCAGAGTCTCTCAGCTGTGCTCTCTTGTTAATCCCAGCAGATGATGGATAAGAGTGAGCTAGAGGGATGAGGGGAATTACTCACCCAGTCTCGGATGTGCGACTGAGAGCCATTGACTGAGAGCATGGGCTCCCTGCCTGTGAGTAGCTCCAGCATCAGCACTCCGAAGCTGAGGGAGGAAGAGAAACCAGATGGAATGTACTAGCTCGAAGTTGGGTAGGTAAAGAAGATAATCACCAGCAGCTGTTGCAGCTTTTGGGGGCATCAAGCTTCAAAGCTACACTCCAGAGATAATTCAACTAACAGCTCTCACTGTTCTGATGCATGGAGCAATGTACAGACAGATGACCTGTGCAAAAAAAAACAAAAAAACAAAAAAAAAACCTTCGCACACTCCTCACCTGTGGACTTCCATGACAGTGGAGGTGACGTGTGTCTGCCAGGAATCAGGGTTATATTTCCTGGGGTGTTTAAAAGCACATCTAAAGCAAAAAAAAACATTATTATTCAAGCCCCCTACAGCCAGACCTGTAGACATCGGTGGCAGTGGTGGCAAGGTGCGACTGGTGGTACTCGGGGTCCACATAGCCCGGTGTGCCCATCACCCGCGTGGGGTTCACAGTGGTTGCTTCCATCATGCGCATGAAGCCGAAATCCGCCACCTTTGCCTGTCAAGGTGGTGATATAGCAGCAGGGTGGATGATAATGCAAGAGGGGGGGAGATGCTAGAAATTGACGCCAATGTGGAACAAGAATGACATCTTACGTGACAAAGTGGTACCAAAGGTACGAGGTGGTACCAAGGGGTAACACGTTGTTAGAAATGAAAATGGAATGCACAAACAGACAAATCAAATAGAGAATCACAACAGACTCTCAATACAAATGGATCTCGTGCATAAAAAGCCCTCAAACATATGTAGCAAGACAAGTTCGACTGGATTGAAGGATTTCTTTGCTCTTTACTTTGTCCATGATATGCATGTGTGGATCTTAATAGATCTTGCCTCACCTCTTCCAAAGGCCTCAGACCCACCCACATGTTTGGCATGCTACAACGAGCCTCACCTGCATCTGTGCATCCAGCAGCACGTTAGCTGGCTTCACATCGCGGTGCACGAACCGGTGGCTGTGGAGGTGCTTCAGCCCGCCTGCCACATCGATGAGCACCGCCAGCCGCCGGCGCAACGAGATTGCCTTGGCACCTGGGGAATGCAAGAATGGGAAAGCGTGCCAACGGGGAGATGTGAGAAAATGGAGACGAAGGGATGGGGATCAGAGGGTCTCAGGTGGGTAGAAAGGTCACCATTGGCACGGTCATGAGTTGCCCCATCACCTGCTCCCTCCATCCCTCTCTCCATCCCTCCCTCCCTCTTTTCCTTCCTCAATCTACTGCTCTCTCTGCCTTCTCACCTGGCTTGGTCCAGTGCGAGAGGTCCCCATTGGGCATGAACTGCGACACAATGATCTGCTCCATCTGCTTGCTGGCCTCGTTGTAGTCGATGCAGTACCCCAGCAGTGGCACCAGGCACGGGTGCTGCAGACGTGCCATGGCTGCCACCTGGGGGAGAGGCGGAAAGTGGGATGAAGAAAGAGAAGATAAGTTGGAGGAGCAAAGAGGACAGAGGTGGATGGAGAAGAGGAGAGAATCGGGTGCAGCAGACGTGCCATGGCTGACAGCTGGGGGGGAGAAGAGGTGAGAATCGGGAAGGAGGGAGACAACAGAGGTTTAAAACATGAGGTGGTAGGTAGAGTTTGAAAAACGATTCCCACCTTTCAACTCATCTCTTCCTTTCATCTCATACCCGTCGTTCGTTTCACCTCCCCCCCTCATCTTTAATCTCCGTTTCACCTCACTTCTCTCTTGAAGTCATTACTCAACACTGGCATTGCCCATATCACCGTCATCTCTTGGGAATCCATGCCTTCATGCATGTCGCTGAATCCACATAGGGTCTTGCCTCATTTCCCCTCACCTGTCTCTTGAAGTTATTGCTCAGCATCGTTGCCCGCTTCACAACCCATATCACCGATTGATGTTTTGGGTCCATGCCTTGTACACATCACTGAATCCACGAGGCATTTTGCCTCCTTTCCCCTCACCTGTCGCTTGAAGTCGTTGCTCAGCATCGTCGCCCTCTTCACTGCCCAAACAACTGACGGGTTGTTTGGGTCCACTCCCTTGTACACGTCGCTGAAGCCACCCGAGCCGATCAGGTTGACCTCTGAAAAGAAGTTGGTGGCCTGCTGTATCTCCTCCAGGGAGTACTGCTTGCACGCTGTAAAAAAGATGGAGTGAGGGAGGAGGCGGATGGGGGGCAAGGGGGGGGAATAGAGGGAGGCATTGGTTGAAGCTGAGACGAACAGGTTGACCTGTGAGGAGAGTTTGGCAGCCTGCTGTATCTCTGCCACGGAGTGCTGCTGGCACGCTGGAGAGTGATGGTGAAGATGGGAGAAAGAAAGATATTGGATACACGGGCCCAAGGTTGACTGCTGAAACTCTAGGAGAGTTTGCGTGCCTGCTGAACCTCTACTGGTGTGTACTGTTTTCAGGCTGAAGGGAGGTGGGGATGTTGTGACTGGCTGAAGAGAGATGGGGAGGTTGCGACGGACTGAAGCCAGGCGTGGAACAAAAATATTGAGCGGCAGTTGCATGAGATGAAGTACCATGCGGGGGAGACCTGTGTGATTCGGATGGGCAAAAGTAGAGCTAGAGAAGGATTTTGAGGACGCCTCACCATGCAATCACTGGGCCGGGATCATGTTTGAGACCTTTCAACATCTACCTACCGGGTTCGGATCGACGGAAGCAGAGCCAGAGGAGGACAGTGAGGGTGATGAGAGCCAGGAGTGCAGCCACCACAATGCCTGCTATGGCTCCCGGTGACAGGGTGCTGGTGGACGTGCTGGGGGGCTCTGAATGATACAGGGTGAAGGCAGGGAGGGAGAAAGAAGGGCGAGTGTGATGAAGCCGCCACTAAGCCTGCTATGGCTCCCAGTTGTCGGATGCTGTTGGACGTGAAGGTAGGGGCTGAAGGATTGAGAGCGGGAAAGATACAAGGGAGAAAGGACGAAGAGAGTGATGAGAGCACGGAGCGAGGGTGCAGGCATGGCTGCTATAGCTTCGGGTTATAAGGTGCTGCTGGAAGGGTGGGTGGGGGCTGAGGGAATAGGAGGAGACTGCATGAAGGGAGAAAGGATGGTGAGCAGGATGAGAACAAAGCGTAGAGAAAAAGGAGAGAGTGGAGGGCTATATGTGGAGGCACAAAGGGAAACGAGGAGGGAATAAAAGGAGGAGGAAGGGGAGAGAAGGGAGAGAAGTGCTACGGGAAGAGACTCTGGCACACGAGAGCAAGACAGGAGTGGCAGTGACAACCGCACCTGCGGAACCAGAGGAGCACCCGATGCAGTAGCTCTGGCACACATGGCAGGTGGTGTTGGGAGCAGAGGTATTGGCAGTCACAAGGGAGCTGGAGTCGCTGCCAGCTGGCGACGTGGGATTGGCTGGCTGTGCAGCTGAGGGGAATGGGCTTGGAGGCGGCGGAGGGGGGGCAGGGCAGGTGCCATTGTCATTGCAGACAATGGTGGGGTTGCCGTACCTGATGAGGAGGGGGGGTGGGGGGGCGGGGGGGTGGTTAGAGGGATGGTGGAAGAGCATCAGGTATGGGTCGTGTGAGAGAGGAGAAAGCGTCATGGAGATGCGAGATGATGGGGCACGTGATGGGTTGCTGCAGACGATGATGGGGTTGCCGTGCCTGAAAGAGGGGTGGAGGGGGAGGGGGGGGATATCACAAAGGTACGGTTTGTGTTAGAGAGGTGGGTATCAGGACATGTGAGAGGATGCGAAGGTGGCACTCACGCTGCTGACAGGGTAGCGAGGATGTGTCATTGACGTTGTCGTTGATGGGTTAGGGTGGTGTGAGGGAGCGTGAGCAATTTAAAATTTGAGGATGCGGGTGGGGTTTTTGAATGGAGATGCGTCGGGGTTTAGGAAACGGGATTGGGGACAGTGATGGCATGTGGGAAGTATGGGGGGCAGGGCAGGTGCCATTCTTGCTTCAAAAGCTGCCACCCGTGAGCTACTATCTGCTACTATGCATCGTCTTGTGTGGTAAAGGTCTCCCGCAGTGCACCTTGTAATATCTCAGAGGTTTCTAAGAATGTTCTTGCTGCCTTCTAAGAATGTTCGGACGGGTGTTTTGCACCGTTCTGCAAGTGGGTGCACCGTTGAATACGATCTTCCATATGGATGCTTGGACGCTTGAGGTCCATCCAACAGCCATCTATTCCGTGCAACGTCCACTCTCCCTAACCCCCCTAATACGGGCCGGGCCAGGCTATCGGACTTCGGGCTGTTGAGGATGAGTGGGAGCGGCAGCACCAACTCGATAGGCGTTGAACTACCTGTGTGTTGCTTTCTTTGCATCATGGAAGGCGAAGCTGTCTAGCAACCTCAAGACGTTGAAGTCAACAGGAGTAGCTGAAGTCAATGACCCCCATGTCTGCATGACCCCCATGTCTGCATGACCCCCATGTCTGCATGACCCCCATGTCTGCATGACCCCCATGTCTGCATGACCCCGTGTCTTCGTCGTGCACTTGTTATCAGGCCAAGCTGTCGGACTTTGGTCTGCTGAGGATGAGTGAGAGCAGCACACTCAAGTCAACTCGAGTCATGGGAACACCGGGCTATGTCGACCCCACCTACGCCCAAACACGCAAGGCCACCACAGCATCTGATGTGTACAGGTGGGTGCTAATTGTGCATTTGAGATGAGTCACACGCAGACATACACTCAAGCGCGCGACTTTGTCACAACAGAAGCTGAAGTGAACAGCTTGGCGATGCATGTGTTACTGCTTTTGATGCAACAGACGTATGTGTTTCTGCCTTCGCGTTTGCCCGATGGGCAACACATCTGGTGTGTGCCCCTAATCGTTGCTCACATGGGCTGCTGTTGGCTCTGGTCCATGTCGCTCCCTCTCTTTCCCCCATGCACTGCTCTCGAATTCTCCCACTCACAGCTTTGGCATTCGCATGCTGCAGCTCACCACATGCATTGTTCCTCGTCCCCACGCTCCTCCCTCGTCCCCACGCTCCTCCCTCTTCCCCACGCTCCTCCCTCTTCCCCACGCTCTTCCCTCTTCCCCACGCCCGCACACAGCTTTGGTATTCTCATTCTGGAGCTCATCACGTGCAAGAAGGCCGTTCTTTCTGTCAACAACCAACCGATTCACCTCCGCGACTGGGTGGGTTCCATTAGCGTGGCATGAGTTGGTCTGAATGGTGTGGGCATGCAGCCTGGTAGCCCCTCGACTGTCAACAACCGACCCACTCATTTCTGCGACTGGGTGGGTTTGGTGTGGGTTGGGAAGGACTAACTGGCGTGCTTGTGTTGATGGGGATGGTGTTTTCTGGGTGGGTCCCAGTGGTGCTGGCTGAGTGGCTCGCACTGTGGGTAGCCCCACTGGTGGGTATGTTGCCAGGTGATCCCTTGATTGTCGACAATCAACCCATTCACCTCCAGGAATGGGTGGGTCTAGGTGGGTTCACTGGCGTTGACTGGGTGGGTTCACTGGCGTTGACTGGGTGGGTTCACTGGCGTTGACTGGGTGGGTTCACTGGCGTTGACTGGGTGGGTTCACTGGCGTTGACTGGGTGGGTTCACTGGCGTTGACCGGGTGGTTCGCACTGGTGTTGACTGAGTGGGTTGCACTGGTGCTGGTTACGGGGGTTTCATTGGTGTTGGGTGGTGGGGTTTCAATGGTGCTGTTTGGGGGTTTCATTGGTGCTGTTTGGGGGTTTTATTGGTGTTGGGTGGTGGGGTTCCATTGGTGCTGTTTGGGGGTTTCATTGGTGTTGGGTGGGAGGGTTCCTCTGGTGTTGGCCCGCCACTCTTGACACACCAGGCATATGTCGCTCCTTTTGCTGTCCCACATGCCTCTCCACTGTGCCTTCCCTTGTATCACTGGCCCTCTCCCCTCGTTCAAGCATAGCCTGCTTTCTACTGTGCAAGTTCTCAGGCTCAACTCTCCCATTCCAGAATCGTTGTCTTCTTGCCTCAACCAGCACTCTCCCTGGCCTTAATGCATTGTTTTGCGGCAACTCAAACCCCTCCACCCCTCCAAATCGTGTTCAAACCGCTCCACATGCAGGTATCCCAGCAGCTGCACAGCAGTGCGAGTCTGGAGGACTCTTCCACCGAAGCTCCACTCGAGGTATGCTCCACTGCCTCTCCCTTCCATCTTCTCTCGGTACTCTCACCCAGGAGAATCAAATTTGTTGCCTTTGCTAGGTGCCAAGCCATTCAAGTACATGCATCCTCTCCAACTGTCACAGTTCAACTGCCTCTCCTCAGGATACATGTTCTTGGAGCTTATGATTGAATGAGGGGAGAGGGCAGCTTCCCCTCGTCCTCCTCATCTTCGTGTCCCTCTTTCTCCTCGTCTATACCTGCATTCGCATGCATGCACACACTTGTAGCCATTAAGCGTTAGGGTGGGCAGCAGCGGAGAGGAAAAACTTTAGCAAAAGAGTGACAGTTTAAAAAGATACCCCTGTTCAAAAACCGAGAATTTGAAACTCCGAACTCAACTCCACTAGAAGATTAAAACGCAACTAGTTTCGGCTGACTGGGACAGGCCCCAAATCAGACCTTCATCAGTGCTGGTGGAATTATAAAAGTGAGTTTACAAGCGAGCTCTTAAACAGAAACTGCGCTACGAGAAAAACAACTTCAGGGTTGGAACAACCGCGACTGAAATCTGGTCAGCCAATCCAAAACACCCTGGAAAGTTCCAAGGTGCCAGGTCTTCATTCCTCGGGACGTGTCGTGGGTAACCCACATCTCGTCAGCTGGTGCTCAGGGAGCCTCGCGCGAACAAGTAACTTTTGCAAGTTACGCCCAGCCTTCCATGCGACAAAAATTCTCTCAGTGTATAATCCGTGTGTAATGAGTCGATTTTTGAGTCGACTCAAAACGACCCCTAGTTTGAGACGGGCCGACACAGGTGTGTAGGTCGTCTTCAGAACTAGGGGTCCACGTGATGAGGGGAGAGAATGTCGACGAAGTTGCTGGTTCGCGAGAGTGTTGGCGAGTAGTGTTGCGCGTTGCGCGAAAAGGACGCCCTTGAAGATCGGTTGAAGGAAAGCAGGGGGGTAACCTCGGTCACGAAGCCGCTGGAAGAAAGCGTGCTTCGTTGCAAGAAAAGTGCGCATGGAGGTCGAACGCAGTAGGTAACGCTGTAGTTCGGCGCGTATGAAACCTTCCTTGCAGTGCCGGGGGTGGAAAGAGGAGAAGGGAAGGTAGAGGTATCTGTTCATCGGCTTCTGAACAGTGCCGAGGTCAAGACGACTGCACTCCTTGAAACGCTGCCCTTTGTGAAGGACAACATCCAGAAAATCAACGGAGTGCTCCGAGATATTCCACGTGATCCTGATGGAAGGATCCAAGCCGTTGAAAGTTCGCAGGTACTCCTCCAGGTCTGCCCGCGAGCCTGGCCAAATGATAAGGCCATCGTCGATGTAACGGACGTGGTAACTTGGTGATATCCCGGTTCACCTCTCCTTGAGTAGCTCGTCGAGACGGCTCATGAAGAGGACCGCAAAGCAGACTGCGACTGGAGTTCCCATCGCAGTGCCTTGTACTTGATGAAAAATCCTGCCGTCGAATTCCACGAAAGAATTCCTCATGACCCATCCCAAGAAAGCCATGAGCGGTTGAGCGAGCTGTGTTGGTGCCCTCACAAGAAAATTGCTAACTGCTTCGAGCCCTCGATCGATGGAGATGCTTGGGTAGAGCGAGGTGACATCGTAGGTGGCCAGAAGTACAGTCGGTGGAAAAACCGTAGCTTCTAGCTTTGTTAACAAAGAGAGGGAGTCGCGCAGGTAGGTCGGTTGTTTGAGTACTAGCGGTCGTAGTTGAGAATCCAGCCATCGGCTCACATTAGTCGTGACCCAGGAATGTGAGGCGGCGATCGGTCGTCCCACGGGTACTTTCTTGTGGAGCTTCGGCAGGATATAAAATGCCGCTGGTCGCCAACCTCCTGGCGGTCGATCGAAAAAGTATTTCCAAAGACTGTCAGGAAAAGCAGGTCCCCACGTCGCCTTCAGCTCCACCAGTTGCTGTAGAACAGAAGGAGTTGGGTCATGACGAACCGGCTGGTACACTGTCGCGTCGTCAAGATGCTCCATGCAGAGAGCGACGTAGTGCGCGCGGTCCATCACAGTTACTCCGACGTTTTTATCAGCAGGTTTGATGACGATGTCGCTGTCGAGCGATAAGGAGCGTAAAGCCGTGCGGACTCCTCGTGAAAGGTTGAGTCCCCGTGACGGCTTACACGCTTTCAGCAGGAAAGATAGGTCGGCTCGCGCCTCCTTGAAGACATGCTCCGGGACCACGTCCCGCTCGGGTCTCCAGCTTGGATTCTTCACCCGGAAACGTGATGAGGCTGAAGACCCTTGATCCTTGAAGAAAAAACTGAGGGAGATCCGTCGATGCAGTTGATCCAGATCTGCTTCGATGGAAAAATTCCATGGCGGCGTAGGTACGAATTTGAGTCCCATCCCGAGTGCTTTGGTTTCGTCGTGAGATAAAACCTTAGAGCTCAGGTTGTGTACCCCCCGGTTCCGAACGCGTGACTGCAGCTGCCGTAAAGTCAGTCGTCCGAATCGGCGGAGTGCGAGATCTCGTGCAGTTAGTTCTTGCGCGGCCCTTTTCCTGGGCCGCCGCCGCCGTTTTTTGGAACTTGGGCCGTAGTTGAGGAAGATTGTTGGCCTTTCCCTCCGCTGCCGCCTGGAGACTTCGTTTTCTTCTTGCCTTTCCCTCGCTTCTTCGGAGCCTTCGGTACATCTGCCTTGTTCCCAGAAGAGTTACTCTTCGGGTTCTTGGACGGGTCCGCCTTGGGCTTCGAAGACGAGGGGGCCGGTTTAGGATCCTGCGATCCCATCGACAAACTCTTCTGAAACTTCGCAGTCAGCTTCGCCTCGACGCTCGCAGTGACGTTCGCCGTAACGCTCGCCACAACTTCCTTGCGCATCGCCTCGACTTGCCGCTTAGTAGCTTTCAGCACGAGTTCATCGAGTACCGGAGCCGTTTCCATTTTCTCCATCTCTTCAGCAGCAGCAGCTTTCTTCAACTCTTCAGCTTCACGTGCCTTCTGCTTGTGCAGTTCCTGGATGACAATCTCATCCTTGGCGGTGACGATCTCAGACTTGGCCTGCTCGATGCACGACGCTTTGATCTTCCGGAAGCGCTCTTTAGCCGCATCAGATACGGTGAGCTCAGGGTCGGAGCTAAAGCCTTGTATGTAGTCTTCGAGGTTGGCCGCCAGAACTGCCACGTGAGAGGCGGATGCTGACTGAATTTCCTCAACCTCCGCCTCCTTGGACTTGATGAAATCCTCCTGAATGCGCTTCTGGTTCTCGAGATGAACCAAGGCGACCGATGCAGCCGAATTTTCCCGCGTCAGAGGGTACTTGGTCTGGAACTCCGCGACCTTGGTGCGAAGGCTGTGCAGAATCACACCTTGCTCGTGGAGGGCCTTCATCTTCTTCAGTTTAGACCTCGCCTTGAGGAGTGCCTTGAAGTCCGTCCTGAAGCCCTTGACCGCCGCCGCCGTCCAGCCTTTGAAAGGCTCCGGAATGTGAGACACGCGATCGGCAGTCGGGTTGACAGAAGCCTGATCCACAGGCTTGCCATCTTTCTGGACGTCCATGTCGGCCATGTCGGGAGAATCCTCAGATTGCTTGTCTTGCTTGTCTTCCTCGCGAATCGATGCAGAATTTCCAACTCCTTTGCCAGTGCGGGAACGCTTGTAACCTGCGTAGGTCTTGGAGGAGTGGTCCGCTCCGCGTGGAATCAGTGCGAAACTCGTATCTTCTTCGCCGGCGTCACCCAAAGAAATTGGGAAACCCAATGAACTTGTAGCCATTAAGCGTTAGGGTGGGCAGCAGCGGAGAGGAAAAACTTTAGCAAAAGAGTGACAGTTTAAAAAGATACCCTTGTTCAAAAACCGAGAATTTGAAACTCCGAACTCAACTCCACTAGAAGATTAAAACGCAAACTAGTTTCGGCTGACTGGGACAGGCCCCAAATCAGACCTTCATCAGTGCTGGTGGAATTATAAAAGTGAGTTTACAAGCGAGCTCTTAAACAGAAACTGCGCTACGAGAAAAACAACTTCAAGGTTGGAACAACCGCGACTGAAATCTGGTCAGCCAATCCAAAACACCCTGGAAAGTTCCAAGGTGCCAGGTCTTCATTCCTCGGGACGTGTCGTGGGTAACCCACATCTCGTCAGCTGGTGCTCAGGGAGCCTCGCGCGAACAAGTAACTTTTGCAAGTTACGCCCAGCCTTCCATGCGACAAAAATTCTCTCAGTGTATAATCCGTGTGTAATGAGTCGATTTTTGAGTCGACTCAAAAATCGCCTCATCTTCGTGTCCCTCTTTCTCCTCGTCTATACCTGCATTCGCATGCACGCACACACACAGCACAGTGCACGCCTTCCTTGTCACTCCCATCTCCCCAAGTTGACATAACCCCGCTTCACCAATTGCTTGTCCACCCACTCAACTCCCTTCCTTCACCAACTGCCTCTCCACCAACTGCTCTAACGCCTAGGTGGTCGTTCGCTCTATCTCTCTTTCGTCCCTTCCTCCCCCTTTCCTCCCTCCTTCCGTCCCTGCGACTTCACCTCAATCCCTTTCTTCCCTTACTCTCTTCCTCCCTCTATGCCCTCCCTGCACCTCCAGGCACCACATGAGCTGCAGGCAAGCACCGACTCCCTAGAGGTGATCGACCCGCGCCTCGCCATGCCTCAGCCCATTGCCGTGCGACTCCTCCACCTCGCCCTCTCCTGCACCGCCATGTCGCTGGCCTCCCGCCCCTCCATGATGAAGCTTGTCTTGGAGCTGGAGACTCTCAGGAATGAATGCTTGGCCGCGCAGCCTTCTCTTGTCTAGGAGTGAGTAACAAACGTGTGACTTCTTCACCTCGCGCTCTCCTGCACCGCCCGCAAGTCTCCACCCGGTTGCCCCTCACTGGCGAAGCTGGTGCTGGAGCTGGAGACTCTTAGGAATGAACGCTTGCTTGGCCAACTCCACCTGCAGTTATATTACGCACAAACAATTGACGCATTGATTCCTCCTGGTCGTTCGTCTGCAATTTCTCTGGCACACTGGTTAGGTGACCCTGAGAATCTTGAGGCACAAATGCAGGGAGATCCGCATCAAGATTGTACTACTGAAAGCTTTAAGACTTATGTTTGCTTGTTTGTTTGTTTTTGTTTTTGTTTGTTTGTTTTTTTTCTTTTTTTTTTCTTCAGAAACTGTGTAACTGTGCAGCACTTCGCTGGATCAAAGTTTGGTGGCGAAGTAGAGACGAATTTTGCGCGCTCATTTGTTTTGCGACAACAACTTGCGTCATTCACGGGCAACCCCATAACAAAGGCACGTCAGTCAATTTGCACCACTAGCAGCAACTGAACTCCTGCTGAGTCATCGTGCCATCCCCTGCTCCAGCACCTCAGTCAATGGCTTCCAGCTGGTTGGGCCTGACAGTTTCGCGTAAGTCGTGATCTTCTACGAGCTCTCATTCGTTGGGGGCAACACGAGTGACAAAACCCTGCAGACGAAGGTTTTCATATTGGCTGCGATATCAGCGATCTTGCCACCCTGTTTCAGGCATCGTCAGACATCGCGGACTTCGCATCCCTGGCGAATTCTGCCTCAGCATTGTTCCAGGCTTCGGTCTGGACAAACAGGCGGTCAGGTAATGATACAATTACCTTCACTTTCTGACGCATTAGGCAGCCATCACAACTACCAAAACTGAACGGGCTTATGTTCAGCATCATTTCACAGTGCAGAGAGACTCAGTGGAATCTGTCGCACCTTGATGGCACGAACTAACACCTTCCTTGCCCTTCCTGTTCGAGAAAAAAAAAAACATGGGAGAAAAAAACCTTCCTTCCCCTTCCAACCACATTCCCGACCTCTCCCATCCCCCCCCCCCCCCCCCCCCGCTCGTAAGCAAAAGGTTCTTGGGAAGTTGGAAGATGGACCGTCGGATTGAAACACTGCGATCTCATGGTTAATATCGATGGCTATGAACGGATATAGTATGGGTTCATGCTGGGAATTTCAACCGTCAGATCTTCCGACCTGGATGTTTCTATTCCCAAAGCGCTCCAAGATACCTCGACACCCCCGCACAAGAACAATGTTCTTGGAGCCCGCGACTCGCAGCTCGGATTTGAGCCCTAGCAATCCTCCCACCATTTCTTGTGTCAGCTCCTGTTACTGCGTGTACTACTGCTGAATCTCTTCCAAGAAGCCGTTGCTTCCAAAAAAACTTGCAAGAATCCACAGCACTCACACTAATTTCATCCTGTCTTCAGTCCATTTTAACAGTGCTAGTATGCTTGTATAAGTCAAGCTCACGCTAAATTCATCCTGTCTTCAGTCCATTTCTAGTAGAGCCGTCTGCGCGCAACTCTATTCTGAAGACTCCTTTCCTGCTGGCTCTGTACTTAGTTCCTGGAAATACCATTTCCGACGCACCAACTAGCTAGTTGAAGCACTTCGGGCATTTTAGTTCCGACACACAGCCCCAAAGCGCAGCTACTTTGCGAGTTTTGAGTCTTTTTGCTCTGATTCGGGGCGGGCTCAGCCCTTTGACCGGCACTGCTAGTAGGGAGACTGAAGCAGCGGGGCTCGGGGCGCGCTGCTCCCAGAGGATGATGCAGTATTTACTCCTTCTCACGGCGCTGCTGGCGGCGCCTCTTTTCCCGAACCTCTATGTGCAAGCTGCAGGGCCCGTCGTACCTATAGACGCGCTGCAAGGTGACTTGACATAGGATAGTACTGGGGTAGGAAAGAGGGTATGAATATGGGACGACGTTTCTGGAAAGCGGGGGAGAGCTCTTTGATGACATGGGATGGGATGGGGTTGATGTGAAGGGATGTGTTCGTAGGGGATGGGATGGGATGGGAGGGGATGGGGATGGGGATGGGGATGGGATGGGATGGGATGGGATGGGATGGGATGGGATGGGATGGGATGGGATGGGATGGGATGGGATGGGATGGGATGGGATGGGATGGGATGGGATGGGATGGGATGGGATGGGATGGGATGGGATGGGATGGGATGGGATGGGATGGGATGGGATGGGATGGGATGGGATGGGATGAGTGAAGGGATAGCTCCGGTTCGCTAACCAACTGGGAGAAAAGGGCATGTTTGTATGGTGGGTCAGCGCACCCACACCCCCCCAGGACGACACTTGTAGCCCTCCAGGGGGACCCCTCTGGGCCATCTCAGTGCCCCCTTCCAACACTCCCCTCACTGGGAGGGCCCACCAAGGGCACAGGAAGGCATAACACCAGGAATCGAACCCGGGTCCCCCGCCAATCAATATCTTCGCTCACCGCACCATGAGGGGATAGCTCCAGTTCGCTAACCAACTGGGATAAAAGGGCATGTTTGTATGGTGGGTCAGCGCACCCACACCCCCCCAGGACGACACCTGTAGCCCTTCAGGGGGACCCCTCTGGGCCATCTCAGTGCCCCCTTCCAACAATGAGATGGGATGGGATGGGATGGGATGGAATGGGATGGGATGGGATGGGATAGGTTGTGATGTTATGTGATGTGATGCGATGCGATGCGATGGGATGGGATGGGATGGGATGCGATGCTCTGTGGTGGGACGTGTTGGGAAGGGATGGGAGGGATGGGACGGGATGGGCTGGGATGAGTTGTGATGTGATGTGATGTGATGGTGATGTGATGTGATGTGATGTGATGTGATGTGATGTGATGTGATGTGATGTGATGTGATGTGATGCCAGGTGGCGGGATATGTTTGGAAGGGATGGGGTGGGCATGAATGGGATGGGATGGGTAGTGTTGCGGTGCGATGTGATGTGATGTGATGTGATGTGATGTGATGTGATGGGATGGGATTGGGTGGGATGGGATGGGATGTGATGGGATGGGATGGGATGGGGTGGGATGGGATGGGATGCGATGGGATGGGGTGGGGTGGGATGGGATGCAGAGTGATGTCATGGTATGCGATGCAATGTGAGCAGTGCTGTGCCTATTGCTACTAACTCCTCATGCATCCATGCTCAGCTCGTGTGTCCTCTGGAACCTCCCTTTTTACTCACCCTCTAATGCCTCCATGTGTGCTGTGCTCCTCCTTCCCTCTCTTCCCACAGGTCCAGTGCTAGCTGCGTGTAGTGGGGCATGGGGAATGGCGCCTGCAGGGTGGAGCGGAGGGGGGGACTGCAGCCAAGCGCAAGGGCTGACGTGTGACAGCAATGGCATGGTGGTGGCAATGTGAGGCATGGTGATGGCGATGTCACACATGGTGGTTTGAATGTGGGGCATGGTGGTTTTCAGGCGTGGTGACTTGGTACAGTCTACTGTTGATTGCAACTTCCACTGTGGACCCATCACCACCATTACCCTGCTCTGCATAAAGTTGATGCATGTGTGTCCATCCTGTTGCCATACTTCTATCACATTATCGTTTCTTTTTCTCCTTTGACATGCATATCATGGATAGTTGATGCCGTGTCACATTGGCATGACATGGTACGTCTTCGCTTGGCATTCCTTCACATGCCACGGCTTGACATGGCATGCATTTGCATGATATACGTCGTGGTATGGATGTCATGAGCAGCGACCTGAGCAACACTCCATTGGATGGCCGCATTCCGCAGGAGATTGGCAGTCTCACCACCCTCACTCTCCTGTAAGACTCACCTCCCTCACTCTCCTGTGAGCTTCTAGTCCCAACCATGTCAACTCAAGCCCAGTGAGTCAGCTGAATTTATTTTGACAATGCTATTATGCCCTATTCCTCCTCTCATTCTCGCCTACCCACCCCCCCCCTCCCCCCCCCCCCCCCCCCCGGCTCCCCTGCCCCCCTTCTCCCTCCTCCTGCGTCACCTGCCACCTGTATGTCCCCATCAAACAGCAACCTCGCCAACTGCTCACTTAGTGGCTACATTCCCATCTCCTTCAGTGCTCTGACCTCCCTCTCGCTTCTGTAAGCATTGATCGGCTTCTCCCCTGGGGAGAGGAGGGACTCCTCTCTCACTCTTTTCATTCCTTCTTCCTTCTAACCCTCCCCCCCTCTTCCCCCGCCCCCCCCTTCCCCCCACTTTCCCCCTTCCTCCCGCTCACCGTCATTCTCTTCTCACCTGTCACCGTGCCTCCTACCTTCGCCCCCCCTCACCTCTCCCTTTTCCGTAACCTCTTCCTCTCCCTCACAAAACCCCCGTGCTCCCCTCTCCCCTCCCTGTTCCCCCCTTTTCCCCCCTTCCCTCGCCCCGCACTTCTCCACCTCCTCCCCCTCCTCCCCCATCCCCCCTGCAGCGACCTGAGCCACAACAGCCTGTGGGGCACCACGCCATCTGAACTGGGTCTGCTGAAGAATCTGAGGCGCCTGTGAGTCACGGGGCCATCAGAGCCACAGGCACCCTCTCCCTCCTCCTTTGCACCCTCTTCCCACTCCCTTGCATCCTCCCCCCCTTCCTTGCACCTCTCCCCCATCCCTCGCACCCTCTGCTCCCTCTCTTGCACCTCTCCCCCACTAAACTCCCCCCCCCCTGCGTCCTCTCCCTGCATGCCCGTGCCAGGGACCTGAGCGGCAGCTCTCTGCATGGGTCCATTCCGTCCGGCCTTGGCATGCTGCCTAAGCTGCGCTTCATGTGAGACCAGCTCCAGCATTCAACCCCTTACAAAGAGGAAGCTAAAGTAGAATCACTAGCTTATTAGGAGCCAGGAGACTCTATTGCATTAAAGGCAACGCAAGGGGACATCGGAGAAGGAACACACCTTCTAGACAATTGAGCTGGGCTCGTGCAACCTAGAAAGTGGGGCGACAACTCCAGGTACAGATTGGATGACCAATCAGCCAACAAATGGTCTAGCCCTTGTGCGCAAATGTGTTGTGACACTTTTTGTCCAAGAATGGTTTACGCCTAGTGGGCTATTATCAAACACTTACACCTCAAGCTGCTTTGGCTAGAGCCTAGGAATGAAACTCCTCAACTTGCTCTATCACATGCTGGTCTCTTGGAATTCAAAACGTTTCGCTTCCATCTGGAGGATCCTGTTGACTTCCATAACACCACTCTCCACTCGGTGGTTGTCTAAATACTGCCGCTTCTGTTTGGTCCTTTCCCCTGCAGGGACCTCTCGTCTAACTACTTCAATTCATCCATCCCTGTTTCCCTGGGCCGACTCAACACACTCACCGCCCTGTAAGCTGCTAATGTCACCACCTTGTAAGTTGCTACACTCGCACCACTTCCCACCCTTTACGCTGTTACACTCACACCCCTTGTACTCTGTATAGTGTGGACGGGAAACAAGGGTATAAGCTGGCTCTTCAGGCATATGTTTGTTAGAGTAGCATCATTGAAATAAGGAAGCAGGGCCGTGGTACCTGCAAAGCCATATCAGCTTGCGAACGTTTCTCATTCAGCTGCTATAACCACACCCGTTCCACCGTGTAAACTGTTACACTGACACCCCTGGAAGCTGGTGGGCTTGGCAGGATACAGGCTCACCTGGCTGGCTGTGTGACTCTCTGTTTCTCTGCTTGTTATGCTATTGTTCGTTCCGCTAACCATCCTTAGTCTCGCCTGTTCGAATTTGTCAGGGTTTCGTAACTTTCTTGTACGCACGTTGCGGGTTGGTTTCCATCCTTCAGCGATTTGAGCAGCAATAGCTTGGGCGGCCGCGTGCCTTGGAGCATTGGCCTTCTCACGAGACTCAACGACATGTAAGTTTGAAATATTGAACTGGCAATTAAGATCTATATCACGTGGTGCTCTGCTATAGTGATGCTCTGAGCTACTCCAGGTAGCATGCTATCTTACCACCTACTACATGCTGCTCAGCAACGAGCTTGCTTTCTCTATGGAATTTTGAAACCTCTTGACTTTCTCACTTGCCTTTTTCCTGCCTCACATGGCTCCTTTTCCCAGGGATTTATTTCCCTTGCCTTCATTTCTTTGAAGCGAATTTTCTTAAAATAACCCCTTGTCTCCATCCCCGCATGGTTTCCCATCCCCTTCTATCCTTGCCCACACTGCAGAAACTTGTCCACCAACAGCCTGTCGTCCTCCATCCCATCATCCCTCGGCCTCTTGACCCGACTCACTAGCCTGTAAGCGGATCCCTGTCACGTGTCCCATACAGGTGGCACGCAGGTGGAATGCATGTGGAATGCAGGTGGGATGGGCGTGGAATGCACGCACTAAGCACGTGGAATGCACGTGGATTGCATGTGGAATTTTGGTGGAACGCTAACTTACCATTGATCACAAGGGACTAAATGGTCCTCTGCTAAGTGTTGACAGATTGCTCATTAGCAGGACAGCAACCACCGTTATGCGAATCATACACAACGCAGCCAGTGAAACAGCGCATAGAACCTTACAGGGTGCATGCAGAAGGCGGCAGCTTATAGAATGCAACAAAACACATCCGCGTACGAGAACTCTCTATCTGCTGTAGGAAGGAGCCAGGTTCAAGGAACACCAGAGCCAATAAAAATGGATACAAGAAAAAAAGATCCAAGGCATCATTATGACCGCAACCACAACCAGTGCTGTTGTTCTCTGACTGGTCCTGTCCCTGGCTTGCTGAGCTACTTCCATGGCCTCTACGCAATAAACCCCCTCAAACCTCAACCCTCAACCCTCAACCCTCTCGCCCTTTCTCTCCCCCTCTCTCCCTCTCTTCCCCTCGCTCCACCCCTCTCTGCACAGCAATCTGTCCGGCTGTTCCCTGATGGGCACTGTTCCTGGCATGCTGAGCTATCTCACTGGCCTCTACGCCCTGTGAGTCTCCATGGCCTCATGCTGCCTCCCAATGTTCCCTCACTCACCCTAATACTGAAATGCGTTCCTGCTACTTTTTGAACGCCATCTTGATTAAAACCGAGAGCCATTAGGAGCTACCTAGTAACTCAATGGACTTGAACCAAGTGGAGGGAGGTCTACAGTGATGCAGCTAGGTTGCTCGTGTATTCCGTGATATGCAGAGCATTTAAAGACTTCTTGTTTCTATTTTACTGTTCCTACTGCATGCAAGCATTGTGTGTCAAGCGTATCATTCTCATGTTTCTGCAAAACTGGTGATTGTTAGCGACACCTTTTGCTTGCTCGTTGTTTGCACGTGCGCAGGCATATTCTCCCACAAGGCGACAATCGGATTGGATTTACTTTTTTTTTCCACTTGTTTGATCATGTGCAGAGACCTTAGCTCCAACGCCTTGAATGGCACGCTGCCTAAGCTGCGCAAATACAGCCGCCTCGCCCACCTGTGAGTAACAGATGCATGCTTGAACCACCTGTGAGCGACACATGCATGCCTCACCCACCTCTAGGTGACGCACACATGCTACATCCCAGTGGTTCTCACATTCCCACATGCATGGATCCTGTGTTGAGCCGTCTCAAATGGCTTTCTAATCATGCTGCTTCTGATCGGGCCTCGGAATTTGACTCAGATTTTAAGCCCTTGTTATGTTTCCTCTGGTCGCATTCCTACTTCATGCAATCCCCTTTACCTTTCCCTTTCGCCTTCCTCCACCCCATCCCCCCCACCTCCCCCACCTCTCCCATCTCCCATCTCCCCATCCCCGCCATCTCCCCCCCCATCGCCCCACAGCGACCTTAGCGCCAACAGCTTCCAGGGCACCGTGTCTGGAGGGGTGGGCAAGCTCTCGCTGCTGCAACACCTGTGAGTGTCTCTCCACCCCTGTCCACACCTCCACCGCTGTCCACCCTCTCCACCTCTGTCCACCCTCTCCACTCCTGTCCACTCCTCCACCCCTGTCCACCCTCTCCACCCCTGTTCACCCGTGTTCACCATCTCCACCCCTTTCCATCCCTGTCCAACCTCTCTGCTCCTTCCCTTGTGGCTCTCTGTCGAGGCTTCAGAACTTCCTGCATCTTGTTACATTGTTTCACGGCAACGTTCTTCATCTGCCTCACACCGCCACTCGCACCATATGCCAATTCTTCCCCCACCCTCACTTCCTCTCCCAACTCTCTCCTCGTCTACACACCCACCTATCCTCTCCCCCACCCTCTCCTCCTCTCCCCACCATCTCTTCAACCCCCCCACCCTCTCCCACCCTCTCTTCCGCCCCCCTCCAGCGATCTGAGCGTCAACCAGCTGAACGGCACTCTGCCCAAAGGCCTTGGTAGAATCTCCCTCCTCTCCCACCTGTCAGTGCCCATTCCTCGCTCCCACCTGTCAGTGCCCATTCCTCTCTCCCACCTGTCAGTGCCCATTCCTCTCTCCCACCTGTCAGTGCCCATTCCTCTCTCTCAATTTGAAGGGCCCAACGTTGCCACCCATCATATTCATTCCACCCACCATATTCATTCCACCCATCATATTCATTCCACCCATCATATTCATTCCACCCATCATATTCATTCCACCCATCATACTCATTCCACCCATCATACTCATTCCACCCATCATCCTCATTCCAACCATCATATTCATTCCACCCATCATACTCATTCCACCCATCATCCTCATTCCAACCATCTTATTCATTCCACCCATCATACTCATTCCACCCATCATACTCATTCCACCCATCATACTCATTCCACCCATCATACTCATTCCACCCATCATACTCATTCCACCCATCATATTCATTCCACCCATCATATTCATTCCACCCATCATATTCATTCCACCCATCATACTCATTCCACCCATCATATTCATTCCACCCATCATATTCATTCCACCCATCATCCTCATTCCAACCATCATATTCATTCCACCCATCATACTCATTCCACCCATCATACTCATTCCACCCATCATCCTCATTCCACCCATCATACTCATTCCACCCATCATACTCATTCCACCCATCGCACCTCTCACACCCATCCCACCCTTTGCTCCATACCATCACATTACCCTAAACCCACTTTTCCTAATGATCCCTCTCCCTCTCCCTCTTCATCTCATTCCCTCTCCAGTGAACTCAGCGTGAGCTCATTTAAGAGCACTCTGCCCGAAGGATTATACCAGCTTACTGCTCTCACTAACCCCTCTCTCTCTATTCATGCCCCCCTCTTCTGTCTCTCCAGTGATCTCAGCATGAACTCTTTCAACGGCAATCTGCCTGAAGATCTCGACCAGCTGACTGCCCTTACAAACCTGTGAGTATACATCTCATGCAGATGCCCTTCGTCCCTTGCAATGTCGCCACCCCTTACAAATTGCAGCACTTGTCACACACCTGTACATCACCTATCACAAACCGTTGCAGGCCTGTCACAGACCTTAGCACGCTTATCACATGCCTTGGCAGCACCTATGACAAAACTTTGGAGCGGGGAGTGCGCATCACATGCCTTAGGCGTGATGTCAACAGCGCAAGTTGCAGCATTATCACAGACCTTCGCTTGAGACCCAACCTTCCTTCCTTCTTCCGAATTATCTCAAGAATGCCCAAGCACCCATCAACTTTATATGGATGGTCACTCTGGCTTTCCACACCCATCCCTTTAGACGCACCCATTTTAAGTTCCCTGCCCCCACGCGCGTCCCTCTCACAGCAGGGTGACCACCAACTCCATCGACGGCACTGCAGCTCTGGGCAAGCCTAGTGACCATTCAGATTGTGTTTCCTCTGCACCCCTTACGGCCCAACCCCAGGCCCATCCCCATACCCATCCCAATGCCCATCCCGATTCCCATCCCCACCCATACCCATCCCCATTACGATCCCTCCCCAGCAACCTGGCCAGCAACACCATTAACGGCACCATCCCGGATTCTCTGGGCAATCTCACCAACCTGCGCTCTCTGTACGTTCTTTGAGGGTGACTAACTGATAACCTCCGCTGTCTGTACATTCTACCTAACAAACATCATCCGCTCTCTGTACATTCGCTGGCACCTAACCAATAAGCTGCGTTCTCTGTATGCACCCCCCACCCCATGTGCCCTTAATTCATGACATCCAGTTGTCTTTCTCTCAACCCTCTCTGCATGCTTCAGGAATTTCTCAACGAATCTGCTAAACGGGTCCATTCCAGCATCCTTCGGCGATTTCTCACACCTTCTCTACTTGTGAGCCCTCGTCTACCTGTGAGCCCTCCCCTGCTTGTGAGCCCTCCTCTAATTGGGAGCTCGTCTCTGCTTGGGAGGCCTCCTTTGATTGTGAGCTCTTCACTCTGTCTCCTCATTGCTCTTGTCTCATTTCTTCATTCGCTTCCTGTCTGCCAGCTGCTTCAATGGAGCCCTGCTCAATGGAGCTCTGCTCAATGGAGCCCTGCTCAATGGAACTCTGCTCAATGGAGCTCTGCTCTCACTGGTTGTTTTTGAGACACTCCGTTTTCTCTTCACTTGCTATTCCCTCTGCCCACCAGTGACGTCAGCTACAACGGCCTCAATGGATCGCTCCCGGTCTCCTTCAGCAGACTCTCGGCACTCAAGCACCTGTAGGCACTCACGCACCTGTAGGCACTCAAGCACCTGTAGGCACTCAAGCAACTGTAGGCAGTCACGCACCTGTAGGAACTACATTGGTTACTCAAAATCGATGTCATATTCTTACGATGCCAGCATTACATTTGTTACACGAGGTTGAGTGCTTGACGTCATCATGTCACTATCCGTTTGAGACATTTTCTTACCACAATGACAATTTCAGCTGATTTTCCTGTGTTTCCACTCCTGCAGGCAAGTTGCAAACAACCAGTTGAACCAAACACTTCCTGCCAGCATCAGCAGTCTGATCAGCCTCACCAACTTGTAAGTGGCATTGTGTTGCGTACCACTCATATTTCTCTCAAAATTTCCACATGTTCTCCCTTTCCCCACGTGGTCTTTTCACCATTTCCCCTGATAGTGGCACAATCATCTCTGAGATTTTGTCACCTAGTAATCCTTTGCCTCCACCGATACGGCTATGGCTATCCCACCAACATATCAACTTCATCAATGGGACTCTTGTAAAGGTCAATGGTCGTAATCCTCTTTCATTCTTGCCTCTAACCTATGGCTAACTCAGCAACATCTCCGTCATCTTTCCTATGGTCCGTAAAGCTAAGGGGAATCAACACCACTGTTACACTTTCTTACTTGCTTTTAATCATCATCCTCACAGGAACATCTCTATCAACTTCATCAACGGGACTTTCCCAGCGGCCATTAGCAGCCTCACCAACCTTGTCGCGCTGTCAGTCACTCCTTTCAATCGTCGTTGATTAAACTTTCCTTCACCTCTTCAATTACATCCCTCCACCCACCTTTACTCCCAGCTTCGTACTGGCGCCCTCTCACATCATTATTTGGATTTTTTACAGGAGTTGACTCACCTTTTGGATAATTATTTGAGAATTCTGTGAAGGTTGAATGATGCAGCCTCAAGTCTACGACACATTGCACTGCTAGCTAATTCCCGTGTTTCAAACCTATGCTCGCCTGCGCCCTTTAACCTCTGATGGCTGCAGGGACGTTCATTTCAACAGTATGAACTGCTCCTTCCCATCGTATATAAGCACCCTCACTAAGCTCACATGGCTGTAAGTCGTACACTATCGCTGAACCTGTGCTTAGTCCTTAAGGGCACAGGTGGAACTGCGTGTCTCTGGCATTATGCCACTACAGCCACGATATGTTTGTCGAAACGTAAGATACCCTCATTTAGAGCTTGGAGCTCGTTTGATTGCTGGTGCCCATTCTCACGTGCTCTTCTACCTCTTTCTTATCATCGAAACATCTCTATCGATCACTCCTACAAAGTTTCCTGAGCTTGTCACTTGCGTCTCATTGTTTTGTTTCCTTGCTCCCTCTACAAACACCAGTGACATGAGCGACAACAAGTTCTGGGGTCCACTTGGAGAAACCATAGGCACGCTCACTGACCTTGAATTCCTGTGCGTATATACATGCCATGCCATGCCACCGAACCATACCATAGCATAGCACACCAAGTCATACTATAGCATGCCATGCCATGTCATAGGTTAGCATGCCATACCATACATGCAATTCCATACCGTACCATACATGCCCTGCCTTGCAATACCATGCTATGCCACTCATGCCAACCATCCATGCTATGCAATGCCACAAGCCTTGCCATGCCATGCCATAGCATAACATACCATAACATGCGATGTCAGGCCATGCCATGCTGTGCAATACCATGGCGTGCAATATCATACCATGCCATACCATGCCATGTCAGGCCTATCCAAACAATACCTTACCATACCATATGATTCCATGCGATCTGGTAACATCCCATGCCATGCCACGACATGCCATTCAATACTATGCTGTGGAATACCATGGCATGCCATAACATGCCATGCCGTGCTGCAGCATTTTCAGAACCGATAATGATTCTCCATTTTAGCATCTGTCTGTCTGGTGGCATTTCCTTGGCCCTATTTCTTTGCTCTGCTATTTGTATTCTGATAGTTACCTGATATTCTGTTTGTCCCTATTTTACTACCTTTGTTGGTCTCCCTATTGCGCTATATTAACGCCGGTGCAGGAGTGTGGGGTGGAACCCTAACCATGAATCAGAGACATCTATCACAGGTCCCATCCCCAGCAGCATTGGCAACTTGGTCCACCTCATATACCTGTGAGCCTATTGTTCAAGTGATACCACATCGGTAGGTATAATAATCACAAGTCAAGCCCACACACCTTAGTAATCAGCCATCATTATTACTTCTGCCATGTAGCGTTCACCTCAAGCCCACTGTGCTTCGCCTGTGCGCATCCAAGAGAATAGATGTGCTGTACCAACCACTTATTGCAAAGTCATCTCGGATCTCTTTTGTCTCTTCCTTCCATGCAAGATCCTGGGCGGCAATAGCAACGTCAGCATGTCCAGTGCCGTTTGATTTGACTAAAATACCTGCTCTCCCCACTGCCCTCTCATCCTTCCGTGCAGAAACCTGGGTGCCATTACGTTCAGTGGAGCATTTCCGGCGACTTTTAAGTCGATTCAGAAGCCAAATTTCCTCGTTGCCTTCTCCTCTCTGTGTGCAGGAACATGGGCGGCAATCAAATCAACAGCAGCATTCCCAAGACCATCACAAAGCTGAAGAAGCTCGAGTTCTTGTGAGGAGCCTTTAAACTCCTGCTGTCACACGCTAATTGCTGCCATTATTAGTCCCTGCTCGTACAAACTCTTTCCCCCCACACTCATCTTCTGTCCTTCGCCAATCTGCCCCCTTCATACTCCCTTTCTCCCCCTTCCCCTCTTCCCCTTCTCCCCCTTCTCCCCCTTCTCCCCCTTCTCCCCCTTCTCCCCCTTCTCCCCCTTCTCCCCCTTCTCCCCCTTCTCCCCCTTCTCCCCCTTCTCCCCCTTCTCCCCCTTCTCCCCCTTCTCCCCCTTCTCCCCCTTCTCCCCCTTCTCCCCCTTCTCCCCCTTCTCCCCCTTCTCCCCCTTCTCCCCCTTCTCCCCCTTCTCCCCCTTCTCCCCCTTCTCCCCCTTCTCCCCCTTCTCTCCCTTCTATTCCTTGATGCACCTCTGCCCATCCCACCCTCCCCTCGTTCAGCTCCGTAGCGTTCAACAAGATGAACGTGGATCTGCCAGACTTTATGTCAGAGCTGACGGCGCTCACAGAAATGTACGGAGAGTAGAGTGTGTTCCAGGAGGTACCAAAGCGCCATCTGCCAGACTTCATGTCAGAGATCACAGCACTCACAGAACCGTACGGATGATGAAGAAGTGGTTTGGGAATCTGAAAACAACTTCTGACAGACTTCATGTCAGAGCTGACAGCGCTCACAGAACTATGCAGGTAACAGATAATGCATCCAAGAAAGATAAAACTCACCTGCTTCTGCACATGTAGGGATCTGGGCACGTTTATATCACAATACATCTCACAGAATCATATGTTAGGAGTTTAATATTTTTTTTCCAAAATACTTCCATATTGCAATCCGTGTTATTGTTGCAGTTGATGTTGTCCCCCTGAACAAGTCACAGGATGGGATACGTGGGAATTGCATTACTTTGGTTGGGGTTCAGCTGGTGTCATTCAACTGCACCTCTCTCCATGTACATCGTTGTTTGTTCTCTCCTCGTCATGCAAGCAGCTGCAACAAAGCTTCATCCTCTCCCTGCCCCTATTGTCTTGGAGCTTATCCCCTAAGCTTTATCCTCTCCCTCTCTGTCCAAAACTCCACAGTGCACTGCGCACCAATCAGTTCACAGGATCCATCCCAGGCAACCTTGGCACTCTCTGCCACCTGAAGCGCCTGTGAGTCACATGGCCTGCTGAGGGCGGCAGTGTAGGTTGTGAGAGCAGTAGGCTGACACTGCAGTGCAATGCGCACAAACTCATTCACGGGGTCGATCTCAGGCAGCCTTTGGCACTCTCTCCCACCTGAAGCACCTGTGAGTGGCACAGTGTGCGTTGTGGGTAGAGTGTGTGGTGCTGCCTGCTGAGGCCAGCATCCATTGTGGGTACAGTGAGGTGCGAGGGCAGTGAGGTGCGAGGGCAGTGAGGTGCGAGGGCAGTGAGGTGCGAGGGCAGTGAGGTGCGTGTTCCCGCATGCACCCATGCGTGGGCAGTATGTCGGCGTGATCAGTAGGTTCTGAGCACAGTGTTTTGTGTGGGCAGCGTGCTGCATTTGTAAGTTCATGTCATGAAATGAAAGCCGAACTCTAGTCAAAACTTTTGGCCAGGTGATTATGTACGAAGACATGAGATGCAAAAATGAGCTCTTTATTCGACTGATGGACGGCCAGCGAGCTAAGGTACATCATTGTCTGTACTCTTGTTTCGCCAAAGTCAGGGAGCCTGTCTGTTGACACCGTGCCTGCATTGATGGGCAACCTGCACAATTTTTTTAAGTAGTCTCAAGTGTTATCTCCTTGTGTGTCGCCAATTGCAGGGAGTTGAGCTACAACCAGTTTATCGGCACCGTGCCTGCATCAATAGGGAACTTGCTCAACCTCACAGAGCTGTACGTGCATGTTCTCCGATGCACACATGCATGTTCCCCCATGCACGCATGCATGTTCCCCCATGCACACATGCGTGTTTCCCCCATGCTGCATGATCCCCCCATGCACACATGCATGTTCCCCCATGCACACATGCATGTTTCCCCTTGCACACATGCATATTTCCCCCATGCACGCATGCATGATCCCCCATACACAAATACATCTTTCTCCTAAGCACACATTCATGCACCCCCATGTACACGTTTCCCCTATGCACACATGCATGATATCCCATGCACACATGCATGTTCCCCCATGCACGCATGGATGTCCGCCCATTCACACATGCATGTTATGCCATGTACGCATGCATGTTCCACCATGCGCACATGCATGTTCTGCCATGCCTGCATGCATATTCTCCATGCACCCATGAATGTTACCTCATGCATGTTCCCCCATGCACACATGCATGTTATTCCATGCACACATGCGTGTTACCCATGCACACATGCATATTCGTTCCCCCAGTCACACATGCATATTCGTTCCCCCATGCACACATGCATATTCGTCCCCCCATGCACACATGCATATTCGTTCCTACATGCACATAATCGCCTACGGTACCGGTGACCATTGTGTGCTGCCAGTCATACATGGGTTCGATAGGCGTGTGTGTTTGCTGTTATACAGTCAACGTATCTGTTACTCTGCTAATTTTTCACCTACATACCATCAGATGGCTGCGTGACAACAAGCTCAATGGCACCATCCTCAGCTCATTCGGAAATCTCACAAAACTTGTTGCCTTGTGCGTGCCTCCACGCCATGCATACCACTGCATACCACTGCATGACTTCCATTGCATGCCATTGCACGCCAATGCATGTCATGCCATGCCATCGCATGCCAATGCATGCCATTCCATGCCGTTCCATGCAATCATAAGTTCCAATTTCCACCCTTTGCGTTGCTCGCAGGGATCTCAAGAACAACGACATGAACGGCACCATCCCTTCATCCCTGTTCAACCTCACCCGCCTCACTAAGCTGTCAGTGCCCTCACCTGCCTTACAAAATTGTCAGTGACCTCACCGCCAGCCTCACCAGACTGTTAGTTCCCTCACCAGCCTCACCTGAATGCCAATGCACTCACCTCTATCTCCACCTTTAGCTTGACGTTTAAACAATATGTGGACTCCCTGTTTATGCAATTGCTGGTTGCGTGGAATGTTGAAGCACCGTGTTGCTTTCACCAGGGTGCAACACCTTGAGAGCCAGGGCAACACCTTATTGCAACACCTTATTGTTGAAGCACCATGTTGCACCCTGAAGCCTTGAGAGCAACACCTTATTGCTTAATGACACACCTCCATCCATTGCAACTGTTCGGTACAGTGACTTGAACGCCAACGGATTCACAGGCCCACTGGTCTCTGACTTTGGGAGATTCGCCAATCTTAAATTTCTGTAAGAGTGACTAACTCCCCTGGACAGGTTTGAATCTTCAAACTTGTAACATTTGCCAACCTGTACGTAATCTTACCTGGAAAAACTTGTGCTGCATGCATGCGAAGCCCATCAACATTGAAAGGCACATAACAGTTGCCATGTAGCAGTTAAACTCAACAAGAAATCATGTTACAGCTACCATGTGGCAATTACACATATTAGGTAGCATTTCACAGTTAACCTTTACCTATGATTGCAGTCAAGGCTTCTTGAGGCCACTGAAGATTTCATTCTACATATATATTGGTCTTGTGTGAGAAGCTTATACGTTACACCCAAGAAATGCACGTGGCAAACTGACAATGCAAAAAGTTGAACCAAGGTAAAAAAATAGCTAATTTTTATCCATGGGAGTGCAACTAGTTGCTGTTGAAAGGTAACCTTGACCCCAGTTCATATTGCACGCATATCTCTGGATCCATTTTTCCTCCTCCCCTCAGAGATGTGAGCGGCTGCCAGTTCTCAGGGCCCCTCCCAGAAACCCTTGGAAAGCTCACTAACCTGACACAATTGTGAGTGCCTCCTGTCATCTCCCACTCGTGTGAGAATTTGCTCCCATCTCCTGAAATCATGCATGGCTCTGGGATGGGAAGGATGATGCTGTCAGTTCTCCTAAAATTCTTTTTACAGGTCAACCCAAAGGCCTGATATCTCCGTAGATATGTATCTGTGTGTATATACATTTGTGTATGTATCTATATGCGCACATGTAATCTGGGAAAATACATGCATGCAGCTTAATAAGAGTAGGTTCCTAGTGACCAAGCAAGTGAGTTGCTGGGAGGAGCGATCAGACCATGGCATACCCCGTATGGTACAATCTCCAACATGTCTAACCATAGATGCTGCTTCGGATCTTCCTGACTGATTTATGGCCTCATATGAACGGGATTCTCTGTCGCTTGCCATTTTTTCCATTTCTCTGCCCCACACCAGGATGTCGGCCAGCATTCTCAACGGCTGTGGAGCAGCCTTGAGGGTCGTAATCTCTAGACGAGCCTCAGTTCTGCTTACCCGTTCCATTTCGTGACTCTGTCGTTTGCGATTCTCCCTCGTGCCTCTTCAGATGGATTGCTGACAACTCTTTCAGCGGCTCCGTGCCCGAGGCATGGAGCAGCCTCACACAGCTTAACATGCTGTGAGTGCTTCCCTCAGGCTTTTTGATAAGGAAACGTGTGCTACTGGCACTTTTCAAGTGCTGCTTTGGTGCTTTTGATGCTCCTTATTATGCGAGTATGGTTGCTACTAGGAATTTGAGGGCTGTCCTGAAGCTGTCGCTGCTATTACAGGTGTTGCTCACACTCTGAAACTGCTGTTCTTATAAGAAACTCCTATGGGAGTGATTTTTCTTTCTCTCCACTCCACTCTCCTCTAGTGGTCATGCATCCACGCCGTCTTCATATTTTTTCTCTCTATCCACTCTTCTCCTTCCAGTGGCATGGCAGGAAATGATCTCTCCGGCACACTGCCAGCAGCATTCCTCAATCTCAAGAGCCTCATCCAACTGTGAGCCTACCACCATGATGCCTTTTTTTTTTTTGTGGAAAAGTATTAGGGCTGCCCAACATTTCCTTGACCTCAAGCCCCACATGCAACTGTGAGCGAATCTCTGTCTATTGGTCCGTGAGCCGAAAACCCTCAACCCGAATCTCAAGATGTGGAGTCAGACTGCATAGAGAAATAATTTCTGGCCAATATGATTATTTCGCATATCAAAAGCATGGAGCAGCTCAGATTATTTGCATGCTAAGACTAAAAGGCCTCTATCATTAAGGCTGGCAGCTGCAGAATACAGTCCTTGTTAGCCACATATTTCATGTGTGTTGGAAAAGAAAAATGCGAGCACAATCACCTGCCATTTTTGGGGGATAATAGTCAAAGATGCGTTCCAACCCCGATACCCCCAAACCTGCAGGCACTTCTGCCACAACAGTTTTCATGGATCCATCCCTGCAGCCCTGTTTCAGCTCACCAATCTCACTGCTTTGTATGGGTGGTTACCAATTAGCAGCTGCTGATGCATACTCACCAATTTCCAATTTTTTTGTATGGCTGGTTACCACTTACCAGATGTTTATAAATGTCCACCACTTATCAGCTTTTTGTGTTGCTACTTGCCAAGTACCAGCGCTTAACGACTATTCACCATGGACCATTTTTTTGTACAGCTTTCAGCCACTTATGCAGCAGATTTCGCTCTTCATCACTGATAATCAACTGCACAGATCTATTGTACGGAAATATTGACGCCTTGCAATGCCAGAATCGAAGAGCTTATATCCGGATTTAACTGTCCTATCCTGCTCCTTGTTGCCTTTGCTCTTCCAGAAACTTCAACAATGCATCTTTATCAGGAACCATACCTTCACAGATCAGCAACTTGGCGCAACTGGTGCAGACGTAAGATGGATGAGTGTATCTGAACGTTTAAGAATGCAGAGTCAAGCATGCCCAAAAATAGAAATACACACCTAGACCTGCAGTCTCTCTCACAGACACCCACACATGCGCGTACACAGAGAAACTTACACACACACACACACACACACACATAAACACACACATAGACACACACAGACAAACAAACACACACACACATGCACACACACACATGCATGCACACACACACACACACACAAACACACACGCACACACACAAACACACACACACACACACACACACAAACACACACACAAACACACACACCCACACCCACACGCATGCACACGCACACGCACATGCACATGCACACGCACACGCACACGCACACGCACACACACACACAAACACACACACACACACACACACACACACACACACACACACACACACACACACACACACACACACACACACACACACACACACACACACACACAACTTGAAGCTGTAATAATTCATATGGAATCCACAGTGCTACGTGATCTCTGATTTGTTATGAACGTGGGTCTCTAACTGACCAACTAAATAGAAATTTTCACTTTATGTTTACGTAATGTTCAGTTCAAATTTCTGCTGGCAAAATGAACACAACCTAGCTTTGGTTGGGTTGGGTTTCAACCCAACCACCTCCATAGGTTGTATGCACCTCGACAAATTTCTAGCTGCCTTCATCTTGCCCACAAATTCCGTCTCCTATGCTACTCTCTAGGCTCTTAAGACTAGTTTAGCTGTTTATCCCTTAATGCTCCTAAAAACCCTTGCAAAGCTGCTGTTGCCCCCCTTGCTTGGCGTTCCTGCAGCAATGGGAACACAAACCAGTTCACGGGGTCCCTGCCAGACACCATCACTCAACTCAAGATGCTTACGTCATTGTGAGTGTGACTCATATGTTTTTCCTGTGTACGTATTGAACTAGAAGGATTCAAATCACTCGTGAAGGCCTATGAAGTGAATTAAGTGAATGAAGTCACTAGAGTCAATGAATTTCACAGAATTTTCTGAAGTCAAATCAGGAACAGGGCATGGCAACTTTTGAAACATATGACTCCACGTGCACACACGTGCGCATATGAATGCGCTTTGAAACAAGAGCAAAAGTCTGAGTAGAGAAGAAAAATTGATGGAGTTCCGGAGGGAGGGTGAAGCAGACCTGAATTCTGCAGCCCTTCTGCTTCTCCTACATGACCATTATCAGTGACCTGGCCTCTTCTGTTCAATGTTTATTCCTCCTGCCCAGTGCAACCTCCAATTGTGTCTCACAACTTCGCCATCCAACCACTTGTGTCACTGTTGCTACAATGAATGAGAATGGCAGGGATGATTGCAAAGACTACGCAAGAGACATCTCGTGTGTAGCCTCCAATCGTGTCCCACAACTTAGTCGACTCAAAAGTCAACTTCGCCATTCAACCACGTGTGTGCGTCATTTTTGCTACAATGGATGCGATTGGCAGGGAATTGGATGACAACCGCTTCAGTGGCCGCATACCCCCTGGATTTGGAACTCTGGCTGTCTTGGAGAAACTGTACGCACAGCTCAGAAGTGATTTTCTCCACCTTGTTTTAGAAGAAAGCGCCTTACCCTTCGTACGAAAGTTGGACTTTCCACAGCTTGTTCTTGGCCTGGTATCTCCACCTTTTGAGAAAAGGAAGACACAGACCCTCTTCGTTCTTAATACAAATACTTGATATATTCCAGCAGATCGAAACCTCCTCCTGAGTTCCCTGATTAGTTGTCGGGAACTTGGCCCTGTATGATTTCTGTACCTTTTGCTGTTTTTGTTTGCCATGCAGCATTTTCAACAACAACAGCTTCTCTGGAGTCTTACCTCCTGAGCTGGGACATTGCACTGCACTCAAGCACCTGTGAGCACTCAAGCAGCTGTAGGCACTCAGATGCCTATAAGAACCTCAAACGCCCCTAAGCCAAATGTCTGTGAGCATCCTATTGCTATCCACTGTAACACTTGTAGGCACCGTATTGGAATTCTTGGTCACAAGGTTGTAAGACCACTTTAATTATGGAATTTGTGGCCCCTCTCTCTTTTCGTTCCCATGCCCCCTCTTTCCGGCATCATGCGGTCTCGTTTCGTCCGTATGCCCCTCCTGCTGTGCTGAACCATCGTACCTGCAGCGACCTTGGCAGCAACTCTCTGACAGGAACTGTTCCTGGAAGCTTCTCAGGCCTCACTGGCCTTACTCTCCTGTGAGTATTCGTGCATCTGAAGCAATCACCTGTCATCACGCCAATGCAGTTCAGCTGTCTGATTTTGAAGCCCCTTTACATCGTAATCACTCGGACACACGCCCCTATGAGAGTATCCTGCATAAGGTCGAATTCGCAGGAGTGTGGCTGTTATTATTTAGGCAAATTTCTTGTCGTGCCAATTATGAACTGGTGCGCAACATGTAAGCACATCCATCAGTACAGATCTCAACCACTCTGATCCATGCCCTCTGCAGCGATCTGAGCAACAACTCCCTCTCTGGCTCCCTTCCAGCTACCATCAGCGCTCTCCCTTACAACGTATCGGCACTGTATGTCTCAATGATCCCATGCCACAACTTTCTCTCTCTTCTCGTTCGTGCTGTAGTTAAAACTTGCACATCTTCCGTCTCTCGTCAACTCTCCCTGTTTTACTTGTTCCCCCCTCTCAAGAGCCATTTGCATATGTAACATAGAATCATGTTGATACGTTTTCAACCATTCAAAACTCCTCATTGCTCTTTCAAACTTTGCAATTTCAATGCACACGGTTTTTTAAGCACTGTTTGTGCAAATGGAAAAATAGCAACTTCTTCCCCTTACACTCTCACCTCTCATGCTCCCTACTCCCTGTACCCTGTTTGGCAACGAGCAGTGACCTCAGCAGCAACGGCTTCACAGGAGGCCTGCCGCCAAGCATCAGGAAGTTCAGCAGCCTTGGGTCATTGTAAGAGTACTTTTATTCCAGCACTATTCATACAGTTTTTTTCAGTTCTGAGACTACCCAGAATCGCAACAGCTGATGTCGAACAGTGTTTCTGCAGACCCTGCAGCATGGGAGTGCAAAGCTGATGAGTGAGGTGGCAGAGGACAATGTCCTTGTGCCAAGCCTTGCTGCTATATTTCTTGGATATCAGGTCCATCTGATTTCTACTGCACAGCACAGATGCTTCCCCAATCTGATAGTGTTCTACCGATGCAGCGACAACAATGTCACCCTTCAATTGTCAATTTCAGTTAATAATTCTGCACGAGTTCCATTCTTCCTTCTCTTGCCCACAGGAACGTCAGCAGCAACAGGCTCTCTGGCACTCTGCCCGGGGAAATCAGCAGTCTATTGGCTCTCACGTCTCTGTACGTGCCATAAGACCTCATGTACCTGTACGTGCCATGAGCCCTCACGTGCCTGTATGTACGTGCCATAATTATCGGTGAAATAATAGCATGACTATTTACCACCTGCATGCGCCTCCATACTCCAGCACCGATGCCACTAGTTCTGACTCACAAATGCTCTTCAAATTCTGACAAAATCAGGGCGAAATTCGATCTCCAGCTATGTCAACAGGATCTGACCCAGCCTAATCTCACACCCCTGCTCACACCTACTCACAGACCTCTCTTACATCTCCCGCCGTCCCTCCCCCAAGCAGCAACACGAGTTCTAACCAGTTTTCGGGAGCCATCCCACCCTCCCTTGAGGCCCTCAGCAGCCTCCGATTCCTGTGAGATAATTGTTCTCCCCCATTCCTGGATTCTCAAGGCTCCATGTCAAAGAGTTATGGTCTTTGTGCCAGGTAATCTATGGTCTCCATGCCACATGACCTATGGGTCCTGTTTTGACTGAGCTATGAATCCTATTAAAATGGAGCTGTGGTCCTTGTGTGATGGTACTTTCCAAATCCGGTCAGAGCGTTAGATCAGATGAGATGACCATTGGGTTATAGTTCAATCAACCTGATTGCCATCCAGTCCCCGGTACTGTCATCTCCTCGTTCTCTTCAGACATCACTCCTATTTGAAAACTCCACGTGGCATGTTGTCTTTGGCAGAGACCTGGGAGGCAACTCTCTCACTGATAGCATTCCGGATTTTCTGAGCGTGCTTACGCTGCTGCAGATGCTGTGAGTGCTAGATGAAAAGCAATGAATTCTCACCTAATCAGTTGATTCGCCATGGCATTAGCTGTGAGTGAATGAAACTGCCACAGCGGCTTTGAGTGTCAGGTACAGGGATGTGGGTGCGCAAGAAATCACTAGATAACACGTCTGGAATGGCTGAGAGTGAATGAAACTGCTTCAAACGCTGTGAGTGAGTGAAACTATTGCAAACACTACGAGTAAATGAACAGCTGCAAACGTTGTGGGTAAATGGAAATGCTTGAAGATAGAGGGATAGAGGGATGTGGGTGCTCAACCAATCACTAAATCACACGGATGCAAAAGGCTGTGAGTGGATTAAACTACTGCCAAGGCTTTCATTCAATGAAACTGCTGCCAAGGCTGTGATTCAATGAAAATGCTGCAAAGTCCGGTATGCCCTGTACATGATTTTTGTACATTACACTGGAGGTACAGTTTGAAAGGGTTTTTAGCGCAAAGGTCATCACTGTTTTAATACAACGTTTCTTCATATCATATGTTGTTTATCTTCTGCTCAACAACCGCTTGCACACTTTCTGCGTACCCTTCATCACTGGCCTGGCCAGCAACCTTAGCAGCAACGCTCTCTCTGGCACTCTCTCTGCATCCCTGGGAGCTCTGGAAGAGCTTACTTGTCTGTAAGCGTCATCCATGAGAGAAAGTAACTTAGCTGAGGTGTCCAATCTAACAGACCTCTCTGTGTATTCTATTTGACCTATCGTCTCGATTACGTTTCAACCTTACAAGCGTTATAAAAGCTATGTGAAGTGTACAAAAAGCAGCAATTTACGCATATCATGGCAACAACCTACTGGCCATCTTTGTACAGGAGGCACTTCTCCATTATTGGACAGTCCATAGTTCTGGGTGTTTCCCTACGCACTTGTCCCTCTAATCAAGCTTCTCCCTCCACACGCATTCTGTCACTCCCCACTTTCTCTGCCCTTCTTTTCCTCTCCACAGTGATGTCAGCAGCAACCAGCTGTCGGGGTCTATCCCATCAACGGTCGACAGTCTCACCATGCTCATGCACATGTGAGTTCTATTTGTGGTTTGATGGAGAGAGTGATGCCTGCTCATGCAATTGTGATTTGTGCATGCACATATACATGTGATTTCTCAATTTAATACATGGAGTGGGAAGGAGTGGATGCATGCTCATGCCCATGTAAGGGATGCCTCCTATGCGCATGTGGGTGGTCGATACTGACATCCATCTAATCTCCTGCATAATCGTGTTACATTGCCTTGCTGTCACAATCATGCCCCACCCCTTACAGGGATGTGAGCCGGAACAGCATCTCAGACTCCATTCCTACCATCATCGGCCGGCTCACAGCCCTCACCTCCCTGTATGTGCACATAGGCTCACAGCCCTCACCTCCCTGTATGTGCACGTAGGCTCACAGCCATCACCTCCCTGTATGTGCACACATACCCCTCACCTCCCTGTATGTGCACATAGGCTCACAGCCCTCACCTCCCTGTATGTGCACATAGACTCATAGCCCTCACCTCCCTGTTTGTGCACATAGGCTCACAGCCCTCACCTTTCTATACGTCAAGATATGATCATCGCCCTCCTTGACTGTATGTCCATTAGGATGATGGCCTTTTCAGGCACATCCTTACTTTTTGCGCAAAGGTCTCATCCCTGTGCAGATGTTCTTGCGTTGGACAGCTCGGAGTGTGTCTCTTGAATGACAGCCATCCTTATAGATCTGCCTCGCTTAGGAATGTTTCTGTCTCTTCTATATGCTCTTTGATAGAGTTGGATTTCGCCCCCTGTCAAGAACATGCTGCTGCATATTACCATGCTTTCGTGACTTGCTCGCAATTCATACACCACTTATTTAGCTACCGCTCCACCATTTTAAACTTTGCTGCCCCTCTGCAGGAATCTCAGCCGTTCAAGCCTCACAGGATCCATCCCTGATTCTCTGACTTCACTCTCAAACCTCCTGCTCCTGTAAGCCACGCACCCGTGTACACTCATCACCACTCCTCAAATGTGGTGGCTCTTCAACTTGACGTACAAGGAACTCCTTTGATGATGTAACTGGCTAGTGCGTTGCATGCAAATCCCTATGTGATATTCTTTAAGACTCCATCTTATTCCCTTTCTATGCATATTCTACAGTAACCATGTTCACAATGCCAATCCGTACACTGCTTTTTGCTTATCCACATCACAGGGATCTGAGCTACACTGGGGTCGCTGGGTCTGTACCATGGGGCATCGATCGCCTTGGGCAGTTGGAAGCATTGTAAGCGACTCCTTACCTGTCCGGAGGTTGGCGTTCGATGGAGGCCTAGATCTCTAGCATGCGATAGCATGATATTCACGGTATGTCTCGCCTGGTGTTGGAAACCTCTGAGATATTACAAGGTGCACTGCGGGAGACCTTTACCACACAAGACGATGCATAGTAGCAGATAGTAGCTCACGGGTGGCAGCTTTTGAAGCAAGAATGGCACCTGCCCTGCCCCCCATACTTCCCACATGCCATCACTGTCCCCAATCCCGTTTCCTAAACCCCGACGCATCTCCATTCAAAAACCCCACCCGCATCCTCAAATTTTAAATTGCTCACGCTCCCTCACACCACCCTAACCCATCAACGACAACGTCAATGACACATCCTCGCTACCCTGTCAGCAGCGTGAGTGCCACCTTCGCATCCTCTCACATGTCCTGATACCCACCTCTCTAACACAAACCGTACCTTTGTGATATCCCCCCCCTCCCCCTCCACCCCTCTTTCAGGCACGGCAACCCCATCATCGTCTGCAGCAACCCATCACGTGCCCCATCATCTCGCATCTCCATGACGCTTTCTCCTCTCTCACACGACCCATACCTGATGCTCTTCCACCATCCCTCTAACCACCCCCCCGCCCCCCCACCCCCCCTCCTCATCAGGTACGGCAACCCCACCATTGTCTGCAATGACAATGGCACCTGCCCTGCCCCCCCTCCGCCGCCTCCAAGCCCATTCCCCTCAGCTGCACAGCCAGCCAATCCCACGTCGCCAGCTGGCAGCGACTCCAGCTCCCTTGTGACTGCCAATACCTCTGCTCCCAACACCACCTGCCATGTGTGCCAGAGCTACTGCATCGGGTGCTCCTCTGGTTCCGCAGGTGCGGTTGTCACTGCCACTCCTGTCTTGCTCTCGTGTGCCAGAGTCTCTTCCCGTAGCACTTCTCTCCCTTCTCTCCCCTTCCTCCTCCTTTTATTCCCTCCTCGTTTCCCTTTGTGCCTCCACATATAGCCCTCCACTCTCTCCTTTTTCTCTACGCTTTGTTCTCATCCTGCTCACCATCCTTTCTCCCTTCATGCAGTCTCCTCCTATTCCCTCAGCCCCCACCCACCCTTCCAGCAGCACCTTATAACCCGAAGCTATAGCAGCCATGCCTGCACCCTCGCTCCGTGCTCTCATCACTCTCTTCGTCCTTTCTCCCTTGTATCTTTCCCGCTCTCAATCCTTCAGCCCCTACCTTCACGTCCAACAGCATCCGACAACTGGGAGCCATAGCAGGCTTAGTGGCGGCTTCATCACACTCGCCCTTCTTTCTCCCTCCCTGCCTTCACCCTGTATCATTCAGAGCCCCCCAGCACGTCCACCAGCACCCTGTCACCGGGAGCCATAGCAGGCATTGTGGTGGCTGCACTCCTGGCTCTCATCACCCTCACTGTCCTCCTCTGGCTCTGCTTCCGTCGATCCGAACCCGGTAGGTAGATGTTGAAAGGTCTCAAACATGATCCCGGCCCAGTGATTGCATGGTGAGGCGTCCTCAAAATCCTTCTCTAGCTCTACTTTTGCCCATCCGAATCACACAGGTCTCCCCCGCATGGTACTTCATCTCATGCAACTGCCGCTCAATATTTTTGTTCCACGCCTGGCTTCAGTCCGTCGCAACCTCCCCATCTCTCTTCAGCCAGTCACAACATCCCCACCTCCCTTCAGCCTGAAAACAGTACACACCAGTAGAGGTTCAGCAGGCACGCAAACTCTCCTAGAGTTTCAGCAGTCAACCTTGGGCCCGTGTATCCAATATCTTTCTTTCTCCCATCTTCACCATCACTCTCCAGCGTGCCAGCAGCACTCCGTGGCAGAGATACAGCAGGCTGCCAAACTCTCCTCACAGGTCAACCTGTTCGTCTCAGCTTCAACCAATGCCTCCCTCTATTCCCCCCCCTTGCCCCCCATCCGCCTCCTCCCTCACTCCATCTTTTTTACAGCGTGCAAGCAGTACTCCCTGGAGGAGATACAGCAGGCCACCAACTTCTTTTCAGAGGTCAACCTGATCGGCTCGGGTGGCTTCAGCGACGTGTACAAGGGAGTGGACCCAAACAACCCGTCAGTTGTTTGGGCAGTGAAGAGGGCGACGATGCTGAGCAACGACTTCAAGCGACAGGTGAGGGGAAAGGAGGCAAAATGCCTCGTGGATTCAGTGATGTGTACAAGGCATGGACCCAAAACATCAATCGGTGATATGGGTTGTGAAGCGGGCAACGATGCTGAGCAATAACTTCAAGAGACAGGTGAGGGGAAATGAGGCAAGACCCTATGTGGATTCAGCGACATGCATGAAGGCATGGATTCCCAAGAGATGACGGTGATATGGGCAATGCCAGTGTTGAGTAATGACTTCAAGAGAGAAGTGAGGTGAAACGGAGATTAAAGATGAGGGGGGGAGGTGAAACGAACGACGGGTATGAGATGAAAGGAAGAGATGAGTTGAAAGGTGGGAATCGTTTTTCAAACTCTACCTACCACCTCATGTTTTAAACCTCTGTTGTCTCCCTCCTTCCCGATTCTCACCTCTTCTCCCCCCCCAGCTGTCAGCCATGGCACGTCTGCTGCACCCGATTCTCTCCTCTTCTCCATCCACCTCTGTCCTCTTTGCTCCTCCAACTTATCTTCTCTTTCTTCATCCCACTTTCCGCCTCTCCCCCAGGTGGCAGCCATGGCACGTCTGCAGCACCCGTGCCTGGTGCCACTGCTGGGGTACTGCATCGACTACAACGAGGCCAGCAAGCAGATGGAGCAGATCATTGTGTCGCAGTTCATGCCCAATGGGGACCTCTCGCACTGGACCAAGCCAGGTGAGAAGGCAGAGAGAGCAGTAGATTGAGGAAGGAAAAGAGGGAGGGAGGGATGGAGAGAGGGATGGAGGGAGCAGGTGATGGGGCAACTCATGACCGTGCCAATGGTGACCTTTCTACCCACCTGAGACCCTCTGATCCCCATCCCTTCGTCTCCATTTTCTCACATCTCCCCGTTGGCACGCTTTCCCATTCTTGCATTCCCCAGGTGCCAAGGCAATCTCGTTGCGCCGGCGGCTGGCGGTGCTCATCGATGTGGCAGGCGGGCTGAAGCACCTCCACAGCCACCGGTTCGTGCACCGCGATGTGAAGCCAGCTAACGTGCTGCTGGATGCACAGATGCAGGTGAGGCTCGTTGTAGCATGCCAAACATGTGGGTGGGTCTGAGGCCTTTGGAAGAGGTGAGGCAAGATCTATTAAGATCCACACATGCATATCATGGACAAAGTAAAGAGCAAAGAAATCCTTCAATCCAGTCGAACTTGTCTTGCTACATATGTTTGAGGGCTTTTTATGCACGAGATCCATTTGTATTGAGAGTCTGTTGTGATTCTCTATTTGATTTGTCTGTTTGTGCATTCCATTTTCATTTCTAACAACGTGTTACCCCTTGGTACCACCTCGTACCTTTGGTACCACTTTGTCACGTAAGATGTCATTCTTGTTCCACATTGGCGTCAATTTCTAGCATCTCCCCCCCTCTTGCATTATCATCCACCCTGCTGCTATATCACCACCTTGACAGGCAAAGGTGGCGGATTTCGGCTTCATGCGCATGATGGAAGCAACCACTGTGAACCCCACGCGGGTGATGGGCACACCGGGCTATGTGGACCCCGAGTACCACCAGTCGCACCTTGCCACCACTGCCACCGATGTCTACAGGTCTGGCTGTAGGGGGCTTGAATAATAATGTTTTTTTTTGCTTTAGATGTGCTTTTAAACACCCCAGGAAATATAACCCTGATTCCTGGCAGACACACGTCACCTCCACTGTCATGGAAGTCCACAGGTGAGGAGTGTGCGAAGGTTTTTTTTTTGTTTTTTTGTTTTTTTTTGCACAGGTCATCTGTCTGTACATTGCTCCATGCATCAGAACAGTGAGAGCTGTTAGTTGAATTATCTCTGGAGTGTAGCTTTGAAGCTTGATGCCCCCAAAAGCTGCAACAGCTGCTGGTGATTATCTTCTTTACCTACCCAACTTCGAGCTAGTACATTCCATCTGGTTTCTCTTCCTCCCTCAGCTTCGGAGTGCTGATGCTGGAGCTACTCACAGGCAGGGAGCCCATGCTCTCAGTCAATGGCTCTCAGTCGCACATCCGAGACTGGGTGAGTAATTCCCCTCATCCCTCTAGCTCACTCTTATCCATCATCTGCTGGGATTAACAAGAGAGCACAGCTGAGAGACTCTGAGCTTGAATGTGTTGGCATGGTACTTGGTCGCTGTATCCCTGAGCCCAATCTTGCATTCATTCTCAGCACCCTCCTTTCACTCCCTTATTTTCATCAATTGCTAATTGTTCCCTCCACTCCTCATAACCGTTCTACCCCTCATGCCCTCCTGTCTCCTCTTATCCGTTCTCTCCCCGCATCCTGTTTCTATCCCCATTTCCCCTTTCACTCCTCTTGAAACCCCTCTCTCCCCTCGCACAGGCGGCTGCAGAGCTCTCTAGCGGCGATGTCAGCTCCATCATAGACCCCCGGATGGTCTCTCCTGCTACTTCTGGCGTCAGCATGGTGTCTGATGACGTCATGCAGCGCCTCATAACCCTGGCCATGGCATGCACTGCCACTCCTGCTGCCTCGCGCCCCTCCATGGCCAAAGTGCTCCCAGAGCTCAAGAAGATCCGAGAGGAGGTAGTGAGGAGGGAGAGGGAGGGCGGATTGGAGGAGAGTGAGTTCCCACCAGGAGTCGGAATGGGCGTGGCAGGAGTGGGTGGGGTGGTGAAAGAGAAGTGGGAACCAGCAGCTGCAGCGTCACTGGGGAGTGTGAGTGGGATAACTGCTATGAGGGATACGATAGGCAGTTCAGAGGGGAATGAGAGCTCCAGTGCTGGCGAGAGGACGAGTGGGGAGGCGAGTGGGAGCGTGGCTGATTCTCACAAGTGAATGGACTGCATGTGAGAGTCATCAGGGTGAAGATGTACATATTAGAGATTCTCATATGGAAGAACTCTTCAGAATATCAATAGTCAGGACTAGGCATCTGAAGTCGGGAGACTTGACTGACTCATTGTTGGGCGTGCTGATTACCTTATGGCAATAAGAGATTGTCTTGGATCCTAGGAGTCCAAAAATCAAGAAATAGATGGTCTGTTTATTCAGTGAGCTGTTAATAAAAACATGAGTATTCATATTTGTTGCTACCTAGGCTCTTGGAAAATATGCACTAAAAAAGCCACACAGTTGAAAAAGCCAGGAACTGCAAACAACAGAAGAGACCTGCAAAAGAACACTTACAAGAAATTTGAGAAAGGGTCACGTATAATTAACCCTGACAGAAGCAGGCTTTACCAAAACAAGCGACCTGGAAGCAGAAGGGAATGAATGACCAGGAGGAATGGCAGGGTTTTTGTGTAATGGAAATGACTAGCGACCAGGGTAGACGGAATTTTGCACAACTAAGAGTAACATACAAGCACAAAGACCATATTTCAATGCTCAATTTGATTCATAACAATTGATACTAGGGGTCTGGGCTTGTAACCTCATAAACCCAAGGAATTTTGACAAAAACAGTTAACGAAATGAAACAGTGAGGATTGCTATTTGGGACCTGAAGTTGCCTTCCCCGTCAACGGCTCACCTGAGGAGAATCCGTGGTTCTACAACATGTCCCTGCTCACGTACTCAGTCCTCATCAAGCACGTCTCAGCCACAGAGAAATTCGGCATCCATTCATTAAGAAAACATGCAAGCTGCGACACAAATCGCATGGGAGCACCTGCAAAACAATGCACCAAGAGAGGGATATAGTTATGTTGAGCCGCTTTCTCAACCAACTCATAGCCATACGCATGATGCCAAGAGAAGAGGCTGGTCCCTACATCAACCGATACAGAAATACCCAAAATGAATTCAAGAAGAGTGGATGAAACTTCCATGATGACATGTTTGTCACTGTCGTATCATATAGTCTTGGACCAGACTGGTGCCACCACTACATGGAGCACTGCCGAAGGAGGCATAATATCCCGTATCCTCACTGACCAGTAGAACCTAGATGCGTACAACAACATGGGAGGAATGGAAGAGGAGGTTGATAGGATTAAAGACGGAGTCTAGGTGAACTTAGGAGCTATAATTACTCAAAATATAAATCCGAAATTCTGGACAGAAAAGTCGTCTTCACAAGAAACGACGTTGACAAAAAACTAGCTGTTGGAATGTCGCGAAACTTAGATATGTTGTAGCTCTTAATCTCAGCTACCGTTCACAATTTGAATCACGTTTATTAATGAAGTATTCGCGACGCTATGGCTTTCGACGCATTAGGGGGTAAGCTGTAGGAGGAGAACTTAACTCAATCTCAAAAGTTCAATTCAAAGTTCAAGAATCTCACAAGGAATAAGAGGAGTAAGAGAAAGGTTGGGATGGAAGAGAAGGATGAGAGGGAATGTTCTAAGAGAGTCTCCAACCAAGGAAACCCCATAAGCACAAATATTCCCCCCCTATAGGAACCCCAATTTTGACATTTGTCCCTTCCCAACCAATCCATCCAAGTTGGCCACCCTTGCCAACCTAGCTTGGTTGTTCCCAACCAATTTGCAGCTGTTACAGTAGAGTGACGAATTTCCCCAACCCCAAAGGTCCCAACTCCATATAGAGTTACCCCACAACTTCACTTCGTAACCGCCGCAATTGTAACGCAAGCTCATGAACTTTGAATCTTCATAGCTTTCGCGTTCTTGCTCCGATTGAAGGGATTCTCGTTGCGTCGGAAAGATCTTCTCAAGATCTATCATCACAAATACCTGCTCAAACAAAAATAATACAGAACACATTCCCAAACTCCAGAATACACCACACACAAATTCTTTCACACACAGTCAAACCATACATATGGGTTGAAAACATGGGATGGGAGGCAGACAGAATGTGATAGCATATGATGACATCACACAACAGAGGTGGCTTTCTACACAGAAGTCGGGGAAGAAGAGAAAATGAAAAATATAATCGACGATGCTACTTCTGCAAAATCTGCAAGGTCACAGCACCAAGAGTTGCATTCGTCGATGTGACCCACCGTCAATTTCCTCACGATTATCTTCCTCAACCGTCTTGGTAACAGACCCTGGAGCAACACCCACGAGCATCATGTACCACCACAAGGCACAAACCTATGCAACAACCCATGACCTTGATGAACTTCATTATCAGCATGGAAGGAGATTATCATTGTCGCTGCCATCACCACTTCTTCGAATCCGAAGAATTTACTGAAAGCAACGTACCTCACCACGTTCGAGCCAAAACCGGAAACGGCACCCAAACCTATCCCAGACGGCACGGTACTAGGCTTCTAATTCTAGCTGCCCCTACTCAAGCAGGAGTCACCACCCGCTCACTGAGGCACATGGCTCGACATGACAATCCTCCATCAAACTACTCGTAACCGGTACACCCACTATGTCTCACCGCTCATCGCTAGCATCGCCTGCGATTCCAAGGACAACTTTTACAAGTGGTATCTTGACAGCTCGTGCGGTCAGCACATGATGGGCTTGTCTCACCATGTCTTCAACAAGCAGGCCCTCAGGACAATGTGCGATATTACCATCACCAACAATTATCACCTTTGTGCTAATAGTAGCAGAGAAGAAGCCTGCGGCTCTCACGTTGGACTCCACATCTCTAATTGCCCCTTTGTTGAAGAACCAAAATGTATCTCCTCTCGACAACACAACTAATAGCTTGTGGCATGGACCCCTAATCACACTGTGCAACCAAGAATTTCTACTTGATTTATGGAGAAAAGTACATTGATTGCGCATAAAATGAAGATGGGGTCTTCGTACTTGACTTCAGTAGCCTTAGGCTGGTCCGCAACTCCAACCAGGCCATCATTTCTCTGGAGGCACAACTCAACCACCGCAAGCAATGTTGGGTGCACCCCTCCGAGGCAAACCTTGAGAAAATTGACTGCTCTGGAGGGTCTCTGCTGCTCTCGCTCAACCCCTACATATTCTTCCTTGACTTCTGCTGGAACCGTGGAAGGAGGCATCAAAGACACCACACTGGCAAAACCTACCCCATCGTCTAGTGCAACTGCGGCCATGACCACAACCACACCTTCGTTCGAACATGGCCCTTTCTGGCCTATCCATGGCACCAGCTAGGGAGCACCTCCATGCGACGAAGGTACCATTGGCGAACAAGCTACTACGCGATTATCAGCCTCGACATTCGGAATGGGGAGCCAGCTGGGGAGCACCCGACAGCAAACCAGACCTATGGTTGTCATCCTGCGTACCGTCATTGATGAATCCCTTGCCATCCTCAAGATTGCACCACTTATCGACAAAATTTGACATGACACTACTGCCTCGACCATCACCAGGGATGTCGACGATGACACCGGCGCCGCTCCAGCTCCCACTTCTAGTCCTAACTTCGCACCTGTGCAAAACACCAAATGCAGAGGGCTTTGAGTACTACTACCGCACTCAAGGTCACTGTGCCACACAAGATCTCTGGTACCAGTGCTTCGATATCCCTCCCCCGTAGCTCCCAACAACTGTATTTGCAGATAAGTCTTTGAACCACGTACGCTACTTCTCCCGAATGGCACCGACATGATACTGGCACTTCATCTGACTGCATGCACCATCTGCCTTGAAGCCGCTCTCATGCACCAGCCCTTCCCGATGCGTACTCTTGGTACTCCCTTGACGCGTCACTCGACAAAATCTACAGTTACTTTCTGTGTCTATCTACCACCAAAACCAACGATAAACGCTATAGTATACGATGACCATCATCAATGCCGCTATTTGCCATGTCTAGTACTACAACTACAAGGATCGATGCCTTTTGATCGCTTCGTGCTCTGAATTACACACACCGAAGGATATTCCGGTTCTAGCCGAAGTTTTTCGTGAGTGACAATGCTCTTGAGTACAAGGGCAAAGCCTTCTGCAAGTACTTTGCATAAACAGACATAGAGTGGCTCTTTCTCCTTGCCTAAAGCTCAGTTGCACCAAGCTACAATTGAGACGGTCAACAGGACCATATATGCAAAGATGTGTGCCCTTATAAAACATTATCTCACCTCACCGAATTCTGGCCTTATGCCATGGAGTGTATAGTGCCTGGCGGAGTACTCACAAATGGTGATTTTCTGGGCCATGGTGAATGCGACCCGCCGTACGGGGGCCCCCGCGCCACTCTCCTGAGTGCATCGGGGTCTAAAACCTGGCGGTAGTAAATACACTCGGCCTTGGGCGTCCCAACATCCATTGACATAACGTTGCGATTGGTGGCGTCCCTACTGCCACGATGTGATTGGGCGCGAGTGGAGGATTTCGTTACAGAACTGGAACTGATTGTGTCACCGCACATGGCATGCAACTCTTTGCTGTTGTGCTGTGCTTAGGCCAGGTCGTGATTACGTGGATCTAAACGGGGTCATTGGCATGTCCCCAGAGACGCATTTAATATAGGTAGACTGTAACTGTGCATGATTGCCTAGTTATAGGTTTTGTTGCGTATATTGTAAGGAATTTTCCATTCCTTAGTGCGCCACACCGCTAACTCGTACACCAACCCCACACGGCACCGACATTTGCCCTAGCTTCAGCCCGAACACAGCACCGAACCATTTCCGCGTCACTCCGAAGCGCTCCACATCCTCGGATGCCTTCCTCGAACCTGTTCGATCACACGGCTAGGATTGCTTTGGTGTTCCTATATCTTGCTTCGTCATTCCATTGTACCACATTCTGTTATTCTGAACCTCGACATTCGATTCCGCGCTACTCTGGTTAAACACTCATAACATCTGGTATTCAGAGCTACTTTCCTGACCTACCCGCTTCCGTAGGCGGAAAACTTCTTTTCGGGCGGGGAGTGACTCCCTCACTAAGCTGCAAAGAGGTCAGCCGCGAATCAAACGAATTAATTCGCCCAACTACGATAGCGTTTGTGCTCTTACTTGAGCATGGGTAATCACACATATTCCCTTGCCCACCTAACGCATTATTCGCCACATGGAACATGCACAGTTTGACGAGCTATTGGCAAAAAATTGCCACCACGGAGGCTTGCCTGACAGCTGTGCTAGAAGACAATTGGACACCTGGCGCCAGCTGACCTCTGTCCAAGGTTACATGTCATCATTTCAGACAGTGTG